GGCGCCCTAGCCGGTTGAGCTATAGGCGCCGAGCCAGTACTTTTTTTAAGTACAAATATTTTATCTTATTTCAAAAAGTTCCAAGGTCAATAAAAGTGGTGTCGTTTTTATTCTGAAAACACTTTTACAACTTGGGAATTGACTTTTGGCTCATGCAGTGAGCCAAAAAGGAACATTGGAGTAGGAATGAAAACACCTACTTTGAATCCATGCACTAGAGCTTTGCAGCTGTGAGGTGTAAAGCCACCCACTGTCCTTTGAGTTTATCTTGGTCATTAAGCTCGCCTGTGGTTACAGTCCAGAGTAAGAGGATAATTGCTCATAAAGTTTTGCTTCCTGTACAGTTAAACTCACATCCCCTACCTCCTTCCCTTTCCCCACTGCCTTTCTAGCTTAGAATTTTGTGGGCAATGGGCATGGAAATTCATACAGGAACTTTGTTACCATCTACTTACTCTTGCTTGATTTTCCCTAAGTATCTACACTGGGGAACAACTGACATTATACTCACCTGGTTGCGTGTCTTGTGATGTAGATTAGAAGGCTTGAAAGCAGATGACATGGAGGAGGGGAGATGGAGAAATGGTTGGAGGGTACATTTGGGTTGTCCCTTTCTCTCTAACAAAAAGAGATCTAACTTAAATTATTATTTTTGAGACAGAATCTCACTCTGTTGCCCAGGCTGCAGTGCTGTGGCATTAGCCTAGCTCACAGCAACCTCAAACGCCTGGGCTCAAGCAATCATCCTGCCTCAGCCTCCCGAGTAGCTGTGACTATAGGCACCCACCACAATGCCTAGGTAATTTATCTACTTTTAGATAAAAAGTGAGACGGTGGGGGGGCGTCTCACTTTTATTCAGGCTTGTCTCTAACTCCTGAGCTCAAGTGATCCTCCTGCCTCAGCCTCCCAGAGTGCTAAGATTTCAGGTATGAGACACTACCCCCTGTCCTTTGATTGTTCTTTATGAGGTTGCTTTGGAGTTAAATACATGAAAAATGCAGATCCTGGGGTCTCCATAAGCACTGCACACAGAGTAGGTAAGAAATCATTCAAATTTTGGAGGAAAGCTGAAGTCTTTGAAGATAAATCATATTTGAAATGCAGACTAATTTTGTATCAAACACGTAAGTTGTGTGCAGGTGAATTTAATCCATGATAAAATATTATAAAGGATAATGTCTCTGACAGCCTTTTTAATCAACTTGGTCGGATACCGAGTATATCTAAAGGTCAATCTCAGCACTGTGTTTGTTCTGTGGATTTTTAAGGAAGGAAAATGACAGCTGGAACCCCCTGCTCAGGGCAGTGCTTTGGTAGGTCTGGATCAGATAGTGGCCATGGGCGATAGACAGGTCTCAGAGCCAGGATTGGGGTGAGGCTTTCATCTCAGGTATAATATTTAAGGCAGCGGGAGTAATCAAGGTGAATAATACTCTAATGCAATATTAAAAAGATAAAAATTAATACAAAAATCCCTGATGAACAAAATACTAAAATTGCCAATAAAGACAGGGTGTCGTTGTTTGTTTTACAATCTTGTGGTTTTTGTGCCATGAGCAGGCCTTTTTAAAACATCTCAGGCAGTCCCAACAGGTTGATGAGGACCATGATGGTGTGCGAGCAAACTGGGCCACTCGGGCCTCTGTATCTAGTTGTATGTTTTGATTGTTGACCTTTATTAAAGTTTTCCACTTGGTTAAAAGACGGTGGATGCCCTGACCCTGGTAAGTGTGTTTCGGGCATATCTGGTTCTTTTCCCGCAGGTTATGGTATGCCTTGGCCCACACTGCAGGTTTGGAATATCTGGGGAGAAGTTGAGAATTTTTTTTAGAGAATTATCATGGTGATTAAGTAAAGTGAAAAGAGAAAAGCTGATAGGCCGAGAGGAGAAAGAAAGCTTTTCCCCTTTCCCTTACAGCCTCCAGACCTTTTTTCTTTGCGTTACCTCCAGCTAAGCTTTTTTTTTGAGACAGCATGCGTGTTGTTTTGTTGTTTTGAGACAGAGTAGCTCACAGCAACCTCAAACTCTTGGGCTTAAGCAATCCTCAGCCTCCTGAGTAGCTGGCACTACAGGCCCCCGCCACAACGCCCAGCTGTTTTTAGAGATGGGTTCTCTCTGTGGCTCAGGCTGGTCTCTGAACCTGTGAACTCAGGCAATCCACCCACTGGCCTCCCAGAGCGCTAGGATTACAGGTCGCAGTGCCTGGCTCCAGCTGGGTTTTTGATAGCTACAATTTAGCTATAAATAATACCCCGACTGTAGAGTTCATTTGAATCCTGACTTGGTCACTAACAATTTGCAAGTCTGAAGATGATCTGGTTTGCTGTCCTGAGATTGCTTTTGTTCTTTCTGTAAAATGAACGGGTGGGCTCAATAACTTCATGTGCAGCTCTAATCCTACATGTCTGCATGTACCAATATCTATAATAAATCATGGACTATCATCTTGATTCTGTGAATCTTTCCATTAATAACCATTTCACAATGTTTCCTATTCCCGTAAAAGGATTGTAACCTTTCTAAGTGAAAATCACACTTTAGATGTAATAAATTCCTTGTTTTCCTGTTGGCTCTGGAGACTTTGGGCCCTGAGTTATCTCTTTCACTTTCGCACCTCTGCTACACGGTGAACATGCTAGGGTTTCCTTTACATGAAAAACAAAAATGACTTGCACTCGTCTGCATCCTAACTTTCACTCTGGATATCTTTAAAAGGAGTTCTCCATCTGCCCAACACTTTCTCTAATACCATCTTTCACAATCCTCACCTTCTCTTCAGACTCTAGGATGGAAATGAAAGTGAAAGTGACTCGTTAAGTACTTGGTAAAGAAAAAAGCTAAAACCCTCTGAAGTTAGGTGCCCCCCTCAGTCATTGCTTTGGGTTTTCAGAGTCCTTTCTAACACCCTGACATCCCAGCATCCTTGACCCTTGACGTTCTAGGCACTGTCCCCTTCCCATTTTCCTGATAACAACTCTGCCAAGATCCATTCTGCCCTTCTGCTCCTCAGTCTTACTCTCCTTAAGGGGAGGGTGTTACTCAAGGTGTAGCTTTGTTCTTTCTTCCTCGGAACTCTCTAGTACCATCAATTTCTAGGGTCACCAACATAGAGAAGACTTTGAAATCTAAGTCCCATCTTTAACTCCTGTGTGACCTCTTACTCCAACTTTCCAATGACTTCTTGGAGGTCACTCCTTGATACTAGGCTTGGTGTAACATCAACCCTCCTCCCCCAATGTCTTTCTAGATTCTTGATAATTTATGTCATATGTTAAAAAACTTACTCTCTTAACTCATTGCTCTCCTTTGCTTCCTAGAACTAAGAAAAGATCAAGTTCTTATTGACACATTCATCCCATCACCATAGTCTTTATTCAGAGACCTCATGCTTGGGCGATTTCAGGAATCTCCCAATACATGCTCACCACAAGATGTATCTTCCTGTACCTGAGGCTGAGTATATCATAGTCTGTTAAAGGAAACAAAGAAACAAAGATTTTTAGGATCCCCTTCTTTTTGGAAAGAAAATGACACGTCTATGCTGGTTCGCTAAGTTGAGTATTCAAGACACTTTAAAAATACTTTTTGTTTGTTTTTTAGGAAAAAACTTCCCTAAATGTGTAGGCCAGAGGCGTGTAATTTGATAAGTTTTGACAAATATATACACTATATGGATCATGGTGAAACTCAGCCTTTTTTTCCCCCCTGAAAGTGCATTGAAAGATCAAACTCACTGTTAAGGCAGATTAAGAGAAATGTTCATTTCTAATTACCAAGCTCATGGGGGGAACCACAGGAATGATTACCCAAGGTCACTGACACATTGCAGATCTGAAGATGATCTCATTTGCCGTCAGGCACTTTTATAGATGCCTTTTTGAAGGTAAGGGGGAAGAGGATGGAGGACAGGTGCAGCACGTGGTTGTTAGGGAGGATGCATAAAGGATGGGGAGAAACAGATTGACTTGTAAATTCACTTGAGAGACAGTTATTTGTTTTAAAGGATTGGGGCCAAGTCTGCGAGGATTCAGGGGGAGGAAAGGAAGTCAGTTGCCCCCTTTGATCCCCTGATCCGGTCAGTCTGGTTTTATGCAGATAGAGGGAAAACCCTTTCTAAAGCTTCCTGACTGAATGGTCTTTAATTCAAAATATTCTTCATGTTAAATAGTCATATTTGGGGGTAATTTCCTTAGCTCCTTCAGACAAATACCCATGTAACCAGCACAACAATCGAGATATAGAATATTTTATTTTTATAATATTTTTCTCTGGAAAGTCCCTCGATCTCCCTCTAATCTCCCTCCAGCCCCCGTCTCCCCACCCAAGGCAGCCGCTGTTTGATTTCTATCACATAGATTACTTTTGCCTGTTTTTGAACATTATATAAATAGAATAACTCAATAAGTACTCTTATGGGTCTAGATTCTTCCATTCAATATAATGTTTTTGAGATTCATTCATATTGTGGTGGGTATCAGTTCATCCTTTTTAATTAGTGAATCGTATTCCATTTTACCATAGTTTGTTTATCCATATTTTCCTGTGGTAGATAATTATATTGTTTCCAATTTAGGGTTAATATGAATGATAGAAACATTCTCTACAATCTTTTTTTTTTTTTTTTTTTTTGAAACACAGTCTCAAGCTGTTGCCCATGGCATCACAGCTCACAGCTACCTCAAACTCTTGGGCTTAAGTGATTCTCTTGCCTCAGCCTCCCAAGTAGCTGGGACTACAGGTCCCCGCCACAATGCCTGGGTATTTTTAATTTTGCATTTGTCATTGTTGTTTGGCAGACCCGGGCTGGATTCAAACCCACCAGTTCCTGTGTATATGGCTGGCACCCTAGCCGCTGAGCTACAGGTGCCGAGCCTATGATCCTTTTAATAAATTTATGTTTTATTTTGCTTGGGTAAAGATCTAGAGGTGAAAGTGTTCACTAAGATTTTTTATGTGTAACCTCTTTCTCCTCCTTTCTCTCTCTCCCTCTCGTTTTCTCACACACACAAACTCGGTCACCCTTAATTTCTTCAACTAGATTATAAAGTCTTTGTAGACAATAAGATTAACATACTTCAGTTTGGACTCTGCACAAGGCTTAACAGAGTTTCTTAAATATAGTAGATAATTGGGAAATTTTATTGAACAATTTATCTACTTAAAGAAGTCACCCTGCCATTCTGTTTTCTGGTGGTAGAGAAAGCAAAAACCCAAAGGACTGACCTGGAAAGTGACTAATACCTGGGAGAAGTCCGTATTTCATCCTCCCTTCTGTGTGTTTCCCACTTCATGACAGGTCCACTTAATGCTGCCTTCTGGTCGTATTTGAAGGTTCTCACTGTTCTTTATTTCTATATTTAGTGAATTAGCAGTCCTGTCACATGGAACATGATGTCCTAGAATACTGAGCCTATAGACAGACTGCCAGGGTTTGACTCTTGGACCCTAAACCAACTAGTTAATGATTTTTTTTCCCAATCTACTTAAATCTGGTGAGCTTTCGCTTACCCTTATGTGAATGAGGTGCCAACACGCCCATCCTTCATCCGTTTGTTGTGAGCGTTACATCATTGTCATTGTCGTAACTAACATTTGTTGATACTTTCCATTATCTAGGTAGCATTCTTAGATAAACTAACTCAATCCTCACAACAACCCTATGATGCTATTACTATCTCCATTTTACATGAGAGGAATCCAAGTCACAGAGAGATTAAATAACAGGCTGATGGCAGCCTGGAGTTCACAATGCATGTTCTTAACCCTTGCAATCAGCTGCTTCCCACACGTGAGATGATGCATGTAGGATTTTGTGCCCAGCCCCCAAGACATGTACACATTCAGGAAACATTAGGTGCGGTCACCATTGTCATCATCACCACCACTGCCATTCCTGGCTCTCTCTCTCTCTCTCTCTCTTTCTTTCTTTCTTTTTTTTTTTTTTTGTAGAGACAGAGTCTCACTTTATCGCCCTTGTTAGAGTACCATGGCATCACACAGCTCACAGCAGCCTCCAACTCCTGGGCCTAGGCAATTCTTTTGCTTCAGCTTCCCAAATAGCTGGGACCAAGTAGCTGGGACTATAGGCACCCGCCACAACGCACAGCTATGTTTTTGTTGCACTTTGGCCAGGGTCAGGTTTGAACCCGCCACACTCGGTATATGGGGCCGGTGCCCTACCCACTGAGCCACAGGTACCACCCCCTGGCTCTCTTTTTAAAATAATGCACTTTGAGTGACTCACAGCTTTGTATCACATTTGAGTGGTATTTATACATTTGATTTGATAACATAACGTATTCTTTGTGATTTCAAGTTCAAGTTTCTTCATGATTTAACATTTAATCAAGGTGGTGGTCATGGTAGAGCATGTTTTGGTGAATATCTGTTTGAATGAGGTTGAACACCTAACTGGTGACTAGTGAACTGGATTAGCTCTTTAGAAAAGTTGCGTCTGTTAGTATCAGGCTGCTTCAGTTCTGTGGGTAGTGCCTCTGAAAACTGAAAACATCTTTCCAGGACTTTCTATTATAAGAATTAATAGACATATGCACATTAGTTGGTGGATCAGGATAGTGGCAGGAGTGATCAGAAGCATCCCGGAATGGTTGCCATAGCAACACAGCTCCCTCTTCACTCAACTATTTACACCTCCACCCATTTGTGCTCCTGTGGCTGTTCCTAACCACCTTGCTATTGCTGCTCCAGCTCAGAACTTAGCCTCTAAGAACATCGCATGGGAAAGGACTAGATTTCTTATAGTCAGCCAAGATCAAATAACCACTGGGTCTACAATTGTAATCCCCGGCTTCGTGTCTGTAGCTCAACCAGCTACAGCGCCAGCCACATACACTAGAGCTGGTGGGTTCGAATCCAGCCTGGGCCTGCCAAACAATAATGACTACTACAACCAAAAAATAACGGCGTTTTGGTGGTTGCCTGTAGTCCCAGCTACTTGGGAGGCTGAGATAAGAAAATAGCTTAAGCTCAGGAGTTGGAGGTTGCTGTGAGCAGTGATGCCACAGCACTCTACCCAGGGCAACAGCTTGAGGCTTGTCTCAAAAAATAAAAATAAAAATAAAATAAAATTGCGACCCCTCTGCTTCTCCTCTTCAGTCACCCTTAGGGAGTTTGTGAGCCTTCCTCAGTACAACTCTAGAAGTTCTGAAGACCTCCTTCTCATTTTTGCTCTCTGTCCTACAACCTCCAGCTATGAGAACAAAATCCTGGGATTAAATCATAGCTCCCCTCCTTTCCTGCGCCGAGATCGGCTCCTGCTCAATGCTGTGGCCTTGTCTTCTCTCCATCATCACCATTTAGCCTCCTACCAGCCATTCCAACTCAGGAGCTGTATCTCTCTAGCAGAGAGCTTCATTTTTATTTTTTAACTTTTAAAAGTAACAGAAGATTTTACAGTTGTCTGACTGCATCAGCTATCAACCTGTGTGGGGTGAACAGTGAAATCATTCCCAAGAGAAAAATGTGATTGAAAGATCTGTAAAATGACGAAGGTATTATTAAATGCTTCTCTTCTCATCATATTTTCCAGTGAGTTCTTCATGCCTGGGCTGGTTGATACGCACATCCATGCCCCTCAGTACTTTTTTGCTGGAAGTAACGTAGACCTGCCCCTTTTGGAGTGGCTGACCAAGTACACATTTCCTACGGAACACAGATTCCAGAGCACTGAGTTTGCTGAGGAAGTATACACTCGAGTTGTCGTAAGTATCCTCTGTGTGTGTGTGTGTGTGTGTGTGAGATATTAGGTTTGATCATCTGCAGAAGCATTTGCTCCTTGGGAGGGCAGATTTAAATAAGGCATAAATAGTTGAGGATAAGGTGGGCCGTAGAGAACTTTCTAAATTCTTTCACAGCCCAGTGAGTTTGTGACTACCGCACCTGCACAGCTAGTCAGTGTCAAAGAGAGAATTCAAATCCAAGTCCTAAATCCCTAATCAGGGGGCTTGGTATTACTCTCTTTACTTCTTGTGTTTGCTGTGTCAAATTTGGGTTTAATGTGATGTGTGTTCCTTATTCCTGCCAACCTCTATCTAATGCTATTCTGAAGACCATATGGAGCAAATAGCTGTGTGACCTTTGGAAAGTTCTGTGACTCATTTTCTCCATCTGCAAAAAACAGAGCTCATGATAGTACCTACTTCACAGGATTCTTACGAGAATTAAGCAAGTTAATATTTGTGAGATTCTTAGAAGAGTGTCTGGCACATGGTAAGAGATCTATGTGTTTGCTTTAAAAAATGCCCAAGGAAATGTAAAATTAAGACCATTAGAAGGATATCACGTTATTCTGGTATCTGATATCATGTTATTTCCTTCCAAGGAAGGAAAATAGGATGGTCCCAAACTGCAGGGCACGTGACAAAATGTGACTTAATCATTAACACCACCAGAGGGAACTGGTTAGCTCTGAAAATGTACTTTCTTGTAGACCAGTGGTTCTCACCCTTACTAATGCCGTAATGTATTTTCATTGTTAAAAAGGGGTCACTACCCACAGGTTGAAACCACTGTTATAGATTCTTTCAAGAAAATCCGTTTCTTTCTTTCTATTCCAACCCTATGCCCATCACCAAAACTCACTCAGTAACTGGAAACAGCTTCTGCAGCAAAGAAGTTAAAGCTACAAGGGCCTTTTCATCTGGCTCCTGCCTCATGTTGTTCAGCACCCTTGGTCTGAACACTCCTGAATTTTTGCTGGGCTCATTGCTGGTTTTATTGGGTCCGTTGACTATAGAGGTGACAGTATCACAAGCCTTCTGCAGTGACTGACCTAGCCATCCTGCCATCTGCAACCGTTTCTTTGCATTATTCGGAGCTTAAAGAGTAAAACCAAGTGATGTCCTGTGTGCATGTGCCTAGCATAATTGTAAAGCCGGAGTAATTGTGGAGCTTACATATTTAGCAGGCCTGCACACGACACCAGCAAAGCTGAGAAGGACTAGAGCTATGTATGAAGTTGCTAGTACATTGTGTTAATGAACTGTGCTAACCACACCAAATCTTGATTCTCAAGTTTATTTAGACCTCATATTGTTCTAAAAACGGTTTGAGATAGCTTAAAATTGCACAGTGTACAACAAAAGGGAATGAGTCATGAAATTGTGGCAAAGAACAAAAAATGGGAGGAAAAATAAAACCAAGGAGTCAATGGTACGGCACAGCATCCGTGAACTTACAGAGTTTGTCACAGATTTGGCTTTAAATTTCTAGAACCTGACTCAGTTCAATCAGTTTTGAAATTGACACCATCTACCTAATAAAAAAAATGACACACTTGTTAAAGTAAAGCATGCATATTCCTTATACAGATACTCCAATAAATTAATCCTAATATTCCTTAATGCAGACAGATGCTATGGTGTCAAAATATATATAGTAAAGCTGCCGTAGTATCAACATTCCAGACAGATCGGTCTGTTATGTTTAAAGAGATAAAGTACCAAGGACTATATGTCCTTTAGGGAATATACTATAAAAATTATTTTTTACATCAGAGGTTTATTTAAGTATTTGACATCAGTGAGTATAAAATAGAATATATTTTTATATATTGGTGAGAATAAAATGTTTTATTCCTGGCAAGTATTCGCTGGGCATACATCCTGCGTTTCTGGTTAGGAGTAGGCCCGCAAAGTTTTCGGTTGGGTAAGCGAAAGGTATGGTTGGCATCTGTTTAAGAAAGTTGAGATTTGCTAACTGGAACCTGTTGCGAGGCTGCAGGGTCACTGTGGCAATGCGAAGGGGTGTAGAGGAAGTACTCATGAATAGGAATAAGATTTGGGGGGTTTAAAACATTTTCTCCCCCCAAAATAGTCATACAACTACTAGAAGGAATTTGCACCATAGATTATGGCAGTGATAATTTAATCTTCAAATAATTTAAAGTATATATTATTAAATATCTCCTGAGATTATTAAAGAAAAAGGTCCAATAAACAATGCCTGGAATAGTCTCCCTTTAAACATCACACACTATATGAGAGATTGTACTTTCAAGTGGTACTAAAAAGAATAAAAAAACTAGAACCTTCTAGAATCTACCCAAATTATAGTCAAGGAACAGGATAGTATGATTGAATGTGCCAGAACAAAACTGGTGGCAAATGCCTCCCCCCTTTTTTTTTTGAGACAGAGCCTCAAGCTGTTGCCCTGGGTAGAGTGTTGTGGCATCACAGCTCACAGCAACCTCCAACTCCTGGGCTTAAGCCAGTGGTTCTTAATCTTCTTAATGCTGCAACCCTTTAATACAGTTCCTCATGTTGTGGTGATCCCCAACCATAAAATTATTTTCGTTGCTACTTCATAACTGTAATTTTGCTACTGTTACGAATCGTAAGGTAAATATCTGATATTAGGTGACCCCCGTGAAAGGGTCGTTTGACCTCCAAAGAGGTCGTAACCCACAGGTTGAGAACCACTGGCTTAAGTAATTCTCTTGCCTTAGCCTCCCAAGTAGCTGGAACTACAGGCACCCACCACAACACCTGTCTATTTTTTGGTTGTAGTTGTCATTCTCATTTGGCAGGCCCCGGCTGGATTCGAACCCACCAGCTCTGGTATATGTGGCTGACACCTTAGCTGCTTGAGCTATAGGTACTGAGCCTCTTTGTTTTTTTTTTTTTTTGAGACACAGTCTCACTATGACGCCCTTGGTAGAGTGTCACAGCTCACAGCAACCTGAAACTCTTGGGCATAAGCGATTCTCTTGCCTCAGCCTCCCAAGTAGCTGGGACTATAGGTGCCTAACACAATGCCCAGCTATTTTTTTGTTGTAGTTGCCATTGTTGTTTAGCAGGCCCAGGTTGGGTTTGAACCTGCCAACTCTGGTCTATGTGGCTGGCGCCCTGGCCACTGAGCTACAGGCACTGAGCCTTCAAATACCATCTTGAGTAATAGAATGAGTATGCTTACTCTAGGGACTGTCAATAACTGGACAGATTGAATAAGGAGGAATCCAACTAATCCCAAAGATGTATCAAGTTGCTAAGGCACAAGATGAAAAGAAAGGGAGTGATATGTGTTTTCTTCCCTATTTTAGTTCCTTGGAAATTATCTAATCACTTAAAAGGCTTTGGAGCTCCTGGTCATCTTTCTCACTTTATTATCCTCATTAGAGTGCTGTGGCATCATAGCTCACAGCAACCTCAAACTCTTGAGCTCAAGTGATCCTCTTACCTCAGCCTCCTGAGTAGCTGGGACTACAAGTGCCTGCCACAACACCTGGCTATTTTTAGAGACAGGGTCTCACTTTTGCTAGGGCTGGTCTCAAATTCCTGAGCTCAACAGATCTGCCCACCTTGGCCTCCCAGAGTACTAGGATTATAGGTGTGAGCCAGCGCGTCCAACCGGAGGTAACACTTCTTGAGCAGTGAATGTCATTATGGAATAAAGATGATGAACAGCTTTTCCAATTGTGGGCCTCAAAGACTACTGTGAGGACGTTTTTATTCTAGAGATGTTCCTTTTCTCTAGAGAGGAATCCTTTAGTCTGCTGGTAGGAGTGGTGGCCTTAGTACAGGGGGCATTCTGAGAAAGACGACCCTGCAGGTCACCCAGATTTTCACTGAAACCCCCTTTCTCTCCTTGTCCTTTGGTCCTTGTGTACTCTAAATACTATCCAGTTTCTACAAAGAGTAATTTTCTCCTCTGAGGAACAGGTTCTGAGTTGACTTTAACAGGGAAGAGACGGCTCTTGCCAGGTGTTAATCATCCGTACACAGACTTTCAGCCATTTCCCTGCTTCTACCCACATACTTCTCTCCCTCTCTCTGAGTTACTGCTCAGTTCGCATCCATGTTTTTTGTCTTCCCAGAAGATGTTGAAATGTCTGCTACGCTCAGGTCACCTCTGACATTCTTTCTGTGGGTTAATAAGTTGTGCTTTCCTTTGCTGTTAGGTTAGTGGTGATTTGCTAAGAAGATGGAGACCTGTGGTCAGTCAGCCGGGCAAAACCAGAAGGCTGGCTAAAGATTTTTACTCTGTATCAGAAAAATCTTATTTACATACTCCCGTGTGCCATAACAGTTGGATATCCTTAAACAATACCAAAAAAATAAGGAATTAATCAGCGTCGCATTTTATAAATCGTCAAACACAGAACTGTTTGAATCTAGGAAATCAGAAGTGTCAACTTCTCCAGCTCACACTTGGGGAATTAAAATACTTTTGCCATTTACTATATTCCACATCAAGATGGCATACCTTTAAATAAAAACATTTTAAATTTAAAAGCTAGAACTCTATTTCTCTCTGAATAGGCCACGTGACTTTTCCTGGGCACATGCGATTCATGGTTTTTGTGACTTATTTTTAGAGGAGAACACTGAAGAATGGAACAACCACAGCCTGCTACTTCGGAACAATTCACACTGACTCATCTCTGGTCCTTGCCGAAATTACAGGTGAGCAGAGGAAAGCATGAAAGGCGGCCAGACCTTGCCTCGCACCCGTCTCACATGTACTTGCGGGCAGCCCTGCCTTTTTAATTGCTAGAATTTGAGCATTGCATTTTCTTTTTTTCTTCTTGGGCAGGAATTAAATGTCTGTGTATCACTGTGGCCCTTGAATATTGTCTACTTTTTACAGTAATTTGTTTATTTGCTTATGGTTGTTGGTTACAGATATATTAATTCGGGGCTTTTTAGGGCAAGCTTGCTAATTCTAGCTGTGGCAACAGCTTATTTTATTATAATTAGTAGACATGTTTTGGCTATTGGCTAGACTCAAGGCACCGTGTTAGGTGCTGGAGCATAATGAAATGGAAACAATGGGAAAAATGGAAAATAGTTGGTGCCCCTGAGGAGCCGTACAGAATGCCTGCATGCATAGATCAACAACTAGTTACAACTGTGGTGCTGCTGCTAGATGCCTGGCACTGTACAAAGCACACTGTATGGATTAGCTCTGCTATACCGACCCTTCTGAGGTTGTTAATGATGTTCTCATTATAGGTGGGTAAACTGATGCTCAGAGAAGTTAAGTAACATGCCCAACACTGCACAGCTTATAAGCAGAGCTGAGACTGTATTTAGGTTGATGAGTCCAAAATTTGTACCCGGCACAGTACCTGGTACATAGGAGGTGCTTAGTAAATACTGTTGGCTGATGCATTGATGCCACTACTTGCTAGACAAGGTAGTTTACCCTGAAGGTCTGAAGGATAACACTGAACATAGACATCACAGTTTTCAGAGGAAGCAAAGAGAACCCAGGACTAGGTTGTCTGGAAGACTTCATGGAAGGGGTATTTATTTATGAATGAATTAACGACAAGATTTTGATCTGTTCTCTAGGCTAGAGTGCAGTGGCATCATCATAGCTCCCTGTGGCCTCACAGTCCTGAGCTCAAGAGATCCTCCTGCCTTAGCTTCCTGAGTAGCTGGAACTGCAGGAATGTGCCACCAAGCTTGGCTCATGTTTCTACTTTTTGTAGAGACAGGGTCTTACTCTGTTGCCAAGGCTGATCTTGAACTCCTGGTCTTAAGTGATCCTGCTGCTTTGGGCTCCCAAAGTGCTGGGATTATAGGTGTGAACCACCATGCCCAGGTGGAAGGGACATTTATACCAGGCTTTCAAGGGAACATAAGATGGGAGTATTACATGTCTTCTAGACAGGGGAAATGGCATGGACAAGAATCTGGGGACAGGAAATCTCCTTAGCAGATGCAGGCGCAGGAAGCAGAGTAGTTTAACTGGAGGAGGGGATTCACTGCATGGAGTGGGTGTGGTCAGACTACAGAGAAGCTTGAATGTACATCACGGGCTCAAAGAAGGTATTGAGACAGCTGAGTTACTTGATGGAAGCAGTATTTTCAGAACATTAGTCTAATGGTGAAGTATTAAAATGAATTACAGGAAAATGAGACAGGCAGAAAGACTTCTGAAAGACTCTTCTGACAGAGGAGGAGACATTATAAGAAACAATTACCATTGCCCTCTGTAGCTTCAACTTTCTGGCTGAAATCAAATTCTTCCAGCACCTGATGAGGACTAGGTTCTTTAGTGCTGAGAGCTGCTAGTGGGACTAAGCAAAATTCCCAAGAGATAATGATGCCGGCACTGCTGCAGTGAAGAAGCACAGCAGCACGGCATCTGATTCTCATGTGCAAGCCACCTTGCAGACATTATTGCACGTACTCCTCATAACCCTGCACTTAGCGGAGGACACTGGGCACTTTAGTCAAGCAATATCCACCATCCTGGGAGTAATCAGAGGAATAAGGACTCAATCCACATCTGTCCAACTCCAGCACCCATGGAGTTTTCAACCAGGATTTAAAACCAACTTTTCCTACACCATTCTGTGTTTTATCAAGAGGGAGGACCATATTAAAGAGACAGAATTTATAGGAAATTTACTAAAAGTATTTGAACAAAATAGAAACAAATTGTTTATGGTGGGATTGTAATCATATTTTTAAAATACATTGCATAAAATATGACACTCAATCTAAGGGGTGGTGATAGAGTAAGAGATAAAAGGGAGATTGTGAGTTGGGGGAAAAAAGAGAAGGAAAGAAGGAAAAAAAACAATGTAGGTGTGTCAAGGACTAATAGAGTCTTTCTCTAGGGTCTGAGGCCCTAGAGAAAGGAGTTAAAATCAAGGTCTTTGACTCTTTACCATGTGATAAGATGAGAGCAGTGACTTCAGAAAAAATATGTACAAACTGTATAAACAAAGGGAAAATCTGAATAATACATAAAAAACACCCAATTTTTTCCCGGTCAGCCTGGGAATGAGGATGGGGCGGGGTGGGGAAGCGATAAATGGATGAACCTTTATGACTTAGTGAATTTAGTGGGGATTGCTGCTGTTATATCTTAAGTGCTGTGATGGTGGGTAACTATTTACATTTTCACTGAAGTTTTTTATAATAATTTCAATTTAAACATGTTTTTTAAAGGCTTAGAAAAGGTAGTATTTGAAAAATAAACTATGCCTTCAGACTCTTTGTGTGTGTACTTTGCAGATAAATTTGGACAGCGAGCATTTGTTGGCAAAGTGTGCATGGATTTGAATAACACTGTCCCAGAATACAAGGAGAGCACCGAGGAATCCGTCCAGGAAACACAGAGGTAAAGTGCTCATTTGTCCTGATTTGTGTTATGGGTGTGTCTTGCTGCTGCTCTGATGGCATTAGACATAGTCAAAGAGGAAACAAAACACTGTTATGACCCAACTGGGAGAGAGAGATGCACAGGGTGATTCAGAATGATTCATGCAAATTTTAGACAGGTCAGCTAGTCTTAAATGAATTTGATTAGACAGTTGGCAATCATTAATGATTGGCAAAGAACTTGCTTTGTCGTGTCACACTTGATCTTTACAGAGGTCTCCCATAAGCCACCTGTCTTTTATGATAAGGAAGCCATCCTAGGCTATGTGACGTGATCCCAGTCATGCTTTTAAATAACAGAACCAGGAGTTAAAACCAAGGTCTTCGACTCTAAATGCACAGTTCTTTCTACCATAGCATAGAGGCCCACCTGTATTCCTGTGTGGGAAGGAGAGGGGGCAGGGAGAGAGACACACCTTCAGTGTGTCTTCATAGCAAGAGCATTTGCTATGGTTTATGTATAGTGTACTTTAAAAGGATGGTGGAAGTGAAGAATCATTTATGGAATAAAATATCACACACAGATTAATGAAAGAACTTTCTCTAAAAAAAGGATTTTAAAAAATGCCAAAGTAATATGTACTCCCATGATAGAAGACTTAGACAATTGCAAAAAACGTACATGGAAGAAAAATGTTCTCCATCATTATACTTCCTAAAATTACTAGTATTGGAGGCTGGGTGTGGTGGCTCAGGCCTTTAATCCCAGCGCTCTGGGGGGCCAAAGTCAGTGGGTTGCTTGAGCTCAGGAGTTTGAGACCAGCCTGAGCAAGAGTAAGATCCCGTTCTAAAAATAGCTGGGTGATGTGGCAGGTGCCTCTGGTCTCAACTACTCGGGAGGCTAAAGCAAGAGAATTGCTTGAACCCAAGGGTCTAAGGTTGCTGTGAACAGTGAAGCCACAGCACTCTACCAAGGGGTGACAAAGTGAGACTGTATCTCAAAGAAAAGAAAAAAAAATGTTACCAGTATTGGGATTTTACTCTGTGTCTTTTTAGTGTTTTTTCAAGGTGGTCTGTGCATCCCTCACTATTTCCTCTACCATGGGAAGAGGAAAGTTGTAGGTATATGCTAGAATAGCCATAACATGCTAATGTAGGGAGCTAACATGTCCCCTGTCTAAAAATGTGACCCAAAAGAATATCTTTCCAAGGTGAAGTGCAGGCCTGTAGGAGTCAAGGCCATGATTCTTTTTCCCGCTTTGGTTCCATAGTCTCACAAGGAGTAGTGACTCACTGTACCACTGCAGTCAAGGTTCTGAGGACATTCTGTGGTGACACACGAGCTAGAGAGAGACCACAGAAGGGACCAAGCCCTACGTTGCTGCTGCTGGACATAGAGCTGGGTTCACTAGAGGCTGTGGACCTCATACTTTGTGAAGACTTCCACCTTATGGAATAGTGCAGATAGAATCATAAAAGGCAGGGGTGTCCAAGGGAAAGGAAACCGTCCACAGAAAGACTTGCACGTGTATGTTCCTACTATCATTATTTATAGAAGCCAAACATAAAGCAGATTCTCTATGCACTCGTATCAATCCCAGGGAAGGACTCTAAACACCTTGCTAATGTGTCAGTCACTTGCGTGAGTCCAGTGAGACAGGACACTAACACAGCACGTTAAGTGCAGCAAGTTCATTACTCACAGGTAGGCAACAAGGGACGCTAGATGCCTGGAATTCATAGAGAGCTAAGGCTTAGAAAGGTTGTCCAGGGTAGATGGAGTCTCACCGGTGCATGCCCCATGTCACCCCACAGCTGAGGGATCCTGAAAGTTTGCTCCACCTGTAGTTTTATGCCCAGATGAACTTTCCTCACTGGGCAAAAACAGCCTAGAACATCTGTTCCAGGAGGAAAGGGAACAGAGCCTAGGCTGTTCTGGCTGGTTCCTCTTTATCTTGGGATGTTGCATTTCTAGCACGTTCTAAAGTTATTCTGAGAACTACAAGCAAGCAAAAAGCTGGATTACCAGGCTTGTCTTGCACCAACTGGTAGAAACAACCAAGATTTCTCCTAATTAGTGGATGAATAAACAAAATGTAGTAGACAGTGAACTATAATTCAGCCATAAAATAATGAAATTCTGGTACATACTACAACGTGGATGGACTTTAAACACATTGTGCTCAAAGAAAGAAACCAAACACAAAAGGCTGCCTATTGAATGGATTCCATTATATGAAATGTACAGAAAATGCAAATCTATAGAGAAAGTTAGATTAGAGGTTGGCTGGGCCGGGGATAGGAATGACTATTAACCATAAACAAGCCCAGAAGATCTCACTGGGGTGAGGAGGATGGTCTGGATTATCATCATGGTTGTACAACTCTATCTAGGCAACTAAAAATCATTGAATCGTGCATTTAAAACAGGTGAATTTTATGGTATGTAAATTATACTTAAAACTGTTTTTAAAAATAGGAGTATGTGGGTGGGGTTCATGTATATTTGAGCTTCCTCATTTACATCCACTTGCGATAAGAGTTGAGTAGAGAGGCATTAGATTCTATTAAAAAGTAAATTTATTTTTGAAAAGTTGCTTTTTATCTCGCAAGGGAATGATTTTTTGTTTAGTTTATAAATAACAGAGACGGCACAGAGAGCTGGGGAGCACGATTTCAGACATTCTGGCTCTGTCGTCTCCTGTGGTACAAGTGTGCTGCTCTGGGTGCCTCTGGCATTGTTCCTCTCGCTCTCCTCCCCTGAGTCCACGCTGCTGAAGCAAAAGAAAAAAAAAACTCAAAAGAGGCCTAAGAAACTCAAGATGTCCTAACACACCCTGAAATCTCCCTGTGGTGTTGAAATAAAGTTGAAAGATGATTGCGAATGTGCTAAGTCATTTGTCCCAGGTGCCAAGGTCACTGTGTGGGTTTATCCAACTTATGAAATAACAGAAAAAAATGTTTGCGTGTCAGTACTGTTTTTTATGTAACAAATTATATTTGCAAGTCTTTAGGCACCTGCTAGAGGGGTGCTAGGAAAAATCTTTCCGTTTAATGAAAGATTCTTTTTTCAAGAAAATGATTTACCCTCTCCTTCTCCTTTCTTATAGATCAGGGCTTCTCCAGCAGGTTGGATTTGCTTTTAAATACTTGTGGCCTGCTCGTTAAATTACTTTTGGCTGAGGATCATATTATTGCTTGAGATCATGAGTTTTCATTATGTTCTTTTCCATAAAACATTGGTATATTTGGCTGATTATATTCTGCTGGTTATATAAGTCCTTTTAAATGGCTTTTCCATAGTTCCTTGAGGATTTGACAAGCAATTTTACTGACTATTCAACATCTAAGGGATGTAGAAGAAAATTCTTTAGATATAAATCTTTCCCAAGATATGACTTACTTTAAGGCAAGTGTTAGACATCCAATATTCTCCTTTCTCAGGCTTTCATCCTCCGGGACTGTGGTAGGTTCACAGAGAGAAGAAAGTACCCACCTTGCTCTAGCATTGACCATATGCTAAGCTTATCTATTAACTTAGTTTTGTGGCTGTAGTAAACCTTAATTCACATTTTATTTTGAAATGAAAAAGGCAGGAAACTGTAGCTGCCCAGCCAGGGTAGAAGCAGCCATTTCATAAGCTTTATAGTTGCTATCATCCCTGTAGGCAGAACTGGTAGGGTCACCATCCATCCCATTCACCATGCATTTTGCATCCACCTTTGGCCTGTTTCTTCTGCTGCCCTCCACTGTCCATCCCCAGGCAGTCTCTGCCCTGGAAATAAGTAGTGATGTTGTAGAAACAGAATGAGAAATTTCCCCTTTCAGGGAATTAGAAGTGGAGAGTCTCATGGCTGCTGAACCCCTCCAGATGCACAGGACTCCATGACTCTCCCATCTCAGGAGCACAACACATTGCAGTATTTCCCCAAACAGAGCTTGAGCCAGTAGAACAGCTTGAGTGCTGCAGGAATAGGCGCCAACAGCCCGTCTGATGCTAGGTGGTGACATTACATTTCCTGCGATTTTGCACTCCATCCCTGGCTGCCAATGAGGAAGCAGAGTAATTACTACTTATTAATCTTTAGTGGTCGTGAAACGTGTGCAGCACTAGCAATGTTTGCGTGGAAATTAGGACATGCGAGGATCGTGTTTCTACCCATTCAAAACATTCATTTGAAAATTCTTACGTTTTCTAACTTCCCGTTTCTTGCTTTATTTCAGGTTTGTGTCAGAAATGCTTCAAAAGAATGTAAGTAAATTTGTTCAGAGCTTTTGCATTTAGACGGCCTTTGCATTAGCTGTAGGATTAAGGTCTTTGTACAATTGGTTTATTCCATGCATGAAGATGTATTTTCCTAGAACTTTAAATTGCTTTGGCACAGTGGACCCATCAATTTAGTTCAATGAAGTCAGGCATTTTAAAAATATGTATTTAATTGACAAATCGAGATTGTATATATTCAAGGTGTGTAATGGGATGATTTGATACACATATACATTATCTAATGATCATCACAATCAAAATAATTAACACATCCATCACTATCTATGCTGTACATTAGAACCCCAGAACTTGTTTGTCTTATAACTGAAAATTTATACCCCTTTGATCAACATCTCCCCATACAGTCCAGCAATCCCATTTTTGGGGTTATATCCAAAAGAAAGGAAATCAGTATCTTGAAGAGCTATCAGTAGCCTACATTTATTGCAGCATTATTCAATAGCAGCCAAGATATGAACTCAACAAAAATGCCCATGGACAGATGATGAATCAAGAAAATGCAAGGTGTATGTACATGTATATAATACACACACACAAATATTATTTAACCATAAAAAGAAGGAAATCCTACCATTTGTGACAACAGAGATGAACCTAGAGGCCATCATGTTAAGTGAAATAAGCCAATCACAAAAAGACAGAAACTGTATCATTTTACCTATTTGTGGAATCAACAAAACCTCAAACTCATAGATTCACCAGTCAGGCAGTTTTTTTCTTTCTAATGAAGTCTGGTATGGCTCTATACCTGGCTATCTGTATGTTGCTTAAAACACATTTTTGGAATCAGGAAATACTGATTGAGGTGGTTTGATTAATAACCACTCAGATATGTGCAAACTTGAAGTTTGTTTTATCCTTATAATTGTGTATACTTCTTTTGGCTCCAAAACCCTTTGCCCACATGAAACCAAAAACTAAATTTATTTATTTATTTATTTTATCTTTTTAGAGATAGGGTCTTACTTATGAAGACCCTAGTCTTCACCAAGGCTGGAGTGGCGTGAACCTCCAGCTACTCAGATCAACCAGTCCTCCTGCCTGTCCTCCCTGGTAGCTAGGACTATAGGCATGTGCTATTGGGCTCAGCTGATTTTTGTATTTTTTGTAGGGATGGGTCTTGCTTTTTGCCTAGGCTGATTGTGAACTCTTAGCCTCAAGTGATTCTTCCACCTCAGCCTCCCAAGGGATGAGAGGTGGAATCCTAGGTGTGAGCCACCATGCCCCACCAGAAACATTGAATTTGGTTAGGTGGGTAAACTTGGTCCCAAGTTCACTAAGCTTTTAGTTAATCCAAGGTATAGAAGACCTCAGCCACTGACCTAAAACTTCTCTAAAAAAATCTTTTTTAAAAAGATAAATGTAAATGAAGATGTGTAACAGTAATTTAGTATAATGCCCATGTTGCAACACAGTATAGATAGTCAAATCTGAATAAAGAAAATAATTTTCATGGTAGGAAAGAAGATGTAACTTTAGCAATTCTTCTGATTGCTACAGAAGACCAGAAGATTCATCTACATGAGTTCAGAGTTACCATCTCAAGGCAGCTTTCTCTTTCTTGGTGTTGTTTCATTTTGTTTTGGTTTTTTCCTTTTCCTTTGGTACTTTTGAATATCACAAGACTTATCTCTGGGGCGGGGGGACAAGGTTTCATAGGTGTGGGGCAGATTGTTGAACTCTGGGAGTTCTGGCTCTCCAGAGCTTCATCAACACTGGCAGACAGCCAGCCAGGCCCCGCTTTGCAGTACCAGGTGTAGCTGGGGCTATGGAGACAATGCTGTTTGCTGCCTCCACCCCACGGCAGACTGGTCCGTAGCTCCACAGGGCGAGTTCTTAGATTGGGAAGCCTGACCCTTTACTTACCCTCTTTTGAGGTATGATTGAGAACTATAGGAAACCTCAGAATTTCCTTCAATATAACCTTGAGAGTCCTGGCTGGAACCTTGTGGGTCCTTATCCTCACCACCCCAATATGAGTCCTTTTCCGTTGCCTGGCCATTCACCTCAGGTGGCACCAGAGCCAATCCTGTTACTGAATAGTTCTCAAGGAGGCTTTGCACAAAATGTTGGGCAGGGGAAGACCACCTCACTTCTGGTCTCCCCAGCACTTTCTTTTCAAACTTCTCCTTCATAAAGACCTTAAGGTAGAGAGAGGGGAGCGTGTATCATTCGGGGCAGGGTCTTCTGTTGAACTTGGTGTTTCAGAATATACTGGACTACTTTTCTTATTCTGAGCTGTGAGCCGTTTCCCTGAAATCCAGCACTTCTACCAACTCATAGAATGGGAAACGCCTCCTCCCAAATGAAGACATAAAATCTTTTTGCTACATGGCAGACATTTTGAGGTACACATCATGGTCATCAGAGCCATCGTTTCCTTATCACTTGTTTTTTATTATCTCCAGTATCCCAGAGTCAAGCCCATAGTGACACCACGGTTTTCCCTTTCTTGCTCTGAGACTTTGATGAGTGAACTCGGCAACATTGCGAAGACTCGTGATTTGCACATTCAGGTGGGTGTTATTCTTCTGTTTGTTCCTCTTTTCAGACCTGCGAGATTTCTCGGTACCCTAAATTGCAATCTGCAGTACTCTTCTGTTCTACTGAGTAATCTCTAATTTTTTTTTTTTTTTATATCTCCTGAAGTCATAGCGTGACAGGGCAAGAAGGGCTCCTACAGATGTCACCTAACTCAATTTTTAATGTTACAGATAAGAAACTTGATGTTCCTTTTATTCTGTACGTTCTCTGATCAGTTTTCAAGAGATGAGGACATCTACATGAGTAATCACAAAATCACCCACAACTGTTTACTTAGGATGCATTTAATACGTTTCTTTCCTACATCTCCTGTCTGTGATATTTTCTCAGTGTTCTCTACCTTCCTTCTCAGAGGAACCAGCTATTATTCGAAAAACAAAAAGAACCTAATTTCCACCTTGCAAAAATGCATTCAAAAGACCTTTTGTTCCCAGTTTCTTAATTTAAAATCAGAAACAAAAAGGTATATTTTACGTTGTCATTAACTTGTTGCAATTTGGGAATAAAGCACTTTTTAAAGCTCATAGCTATGTTAAAATTGGGAGCTCCCCTCCCCCCATCCAAATTTAATTGCATACTGTACTAAAATTTCTTCTCTTAGGAGTTGGCTGTCTTAAAAGAAATGGCAAGTCAGGGTACAGGCTACACATTAATTCTTCACCATTTTGTAAAGTGTTTTTTTGGGGGGGGGTCTTTATTTATTTATTTTTTTTTTTGATGATTTATCTTTTTAGGACACATTAACTGTTCTTCCTCATTATTTTTTTTTTGTACTCTATAATACTTGAATTTTTAATTCAATACCACCTATTTCTTTGTTGGAGATAAAATTCAAAACTTAGATCATGTTTCTGAACTCTATTTCTATTGGAAATAGAGTTTCTTGCTGAAGAAACAAGATACAAATAAACATTCAAAAACACACGAAATATAAAAGGAAAGGACACACAATGCAATCAAGTCTGCCCTTGCTGGACGATTGTGTGTGGATGCGTGTGTATTTACATTTACCCAAAGGACATGAAGCACTAGGTTGCCCTTTCTTCTGTTGCTGGGATCTGGGAGTTCCTCAAGGCCAGGGATACAGCTTGTGGTCTAAGTGGAGCATTTGTTTTCAGAATATGCTATTTTCGTCCTTTTACAATTTGTCTATGCATAATCTACCTCACAGAGAGACAACAATAGAGGGGCCATTCTTGGAAATGCTAATAAGACCTCTGAGGTTTGTGGGGCCCTGGAGAAAGGTCTGTGTAGGGGTTTAGGGCTCACTTTGCTTTGCTTGCTTGTGGATTTTTCTTACAGGCTCTTCCTCAATGACTATACGAATGTCTAGTTCAGTTATTTTTAGACTGTTTTCTGCAGAATAACTCATTATGGAAGCCAACAAAGGGGACAGATTGAGGACAGGGTCCCAGAGTCCCAGTGCTGCTTTATCCTGAGGGGCAACTTGTTTGTGCTTCTTCTATCTTGAATTTCTTTGAATTTTCATATGCATAACATATTCAAGGTTAAAAGAATTTGGAAAATCATTCATCTAGCCCAACGCTTTTATCGGAGAAATGAGAAAATTGTGATCCAAAAAAAGAAGAACTCACTTTCCATAAGACATAGGACTAGGATCAGAACTTAGGCTAAATAACTCAGCTCTCTTTACTCAAATTCCAGCATTTTTATGAATGAACTATGCTGTCTGTTTTTTTGATGGACACTAAACTCTTAAATAGTCATCCTCAGAAGAGGAGGTTGCCACAAATAGCAAGATTCTTGACTCTTCAAAGAGTACTATGTGTTTTTGCCATAGTTTGAAATTGAAGAAAATTTGCTGAAAATGTTTGCCTTGAGATTATGTGCACACACGTGCACACACTACATGTCATGATACTCACTTTCTTTGTCATAAATGTGATGAATGTAATTGTTTTTAAGAAAACACATGTACTGTCTACATTGTTTTTCTATAGGCAAGTAGAAACCATCCAAACCATTTTGATATAGGAAGTATATTTCTAGTAATACTGTACAGAAACAAATTGGAAGTATTATTTCTTTTCTTGTAGAGCCATGTAAGTGAAACTCGTGATGAAGTTGAAGCTGTGAAAAAATTATACCCCAGTTATAAAAACTACACCGACGTGTATGATAAAAACAATCTTCTGACAAATAAGGTAAATTGTTTATTGTGACATAATCTATGTAAAGTTGGGTGTATTTGTTTACATGTTAACATCTAAGTGGTACTCTTACGACTTCTGTCACATGCCTACATTTCCCAAACTAGAGTAAGCCCAGAGTGGGTGTGCACATATGTGGGGGTAGTTGAAAATGTGCCTGCAGTTTCATCACAATCAGTAAATCTGAAGACTTCATTGAGAGTGACAGTGTCATTTGGTCCAAGGATATTTTGACAGTATTCATTAGAATGTAAATGTGCATTCCTTTGAGTTAGCAAATGCATTTTTAAGGATCCATTCTGTAAGTAATGTAAGCAGGGATGTTAATTACATCTGAAAGTTAAAAATGGCTACCAATGGGGGTTGATTAAATTATGGAGCAGGCAAGATGAGAATTCTATTCAGCATTCACAAAGAAATAGATATACAGGCTTAAAGGAAGAATGTGCAGTATTATTTGATATATATGTGTATATGATGGTCTGAAAGACACAGCAAATATTAAAAGGACTTTCCCTAAGGAAGAAAGTGGAAGGACTTACTACTTTTATTTTTAAACACTCTAAGATTGCTTTTTAAGGAGTTGAGTATTACTTTTATAATTAATTAAAATTAATACAAGTGCAGAGAGACCTCATTACAATAATGTAGCCCCTGGTCTTGACCTTTGATGAAATCTACAAACTTCGTGGAGAGTTTACTGCAGCACATAATGTCTTAGTGACTATGTGAATGGAGATATGAATATTACTGACTTGAAAGGTTCATACTGTGCATAAATCAGGTAAATGCTACTTTGTGATGTTTATCCTTTTACATCTATTTCCATACGATTAATAAATTAGCCTTCTTTTCGCATGTTAATTTTATTTGCCCAGAGGTTGGTAATATTTTATTTTAATAATAATTCTGCGGTCACTGAACCTTGCCTCCCAAAGGAGAAAGCTACAGGTTTTGTACTAAGTGAAAAAGAATTTTGGAAGAGTAAAGTCTTATTTAAGAAAACCAAGATTGCTAAGATTAAATGTTTAGTGAGGTCTCACATATGCAGTGCCTGATTTTTTTTTTATCTATTTTATCTTCTCAATTAATGCTTAGAAGGTACTACATTTCTTAATTTTTATAAATGTATAAACATAAATGAGTTATAGTTTACTTGGTTGTATGTGTCAAGACCATTGCTATCTATATTAAAATCAGTATCAGAAATAAAGAATAATGTTTTGCAAGATTATTCTCCCAGCTTCTATGTACTGAGAAAAGAAGCTTACTTCTAGAAAGTTGTGATTAGAAAAGGAATAAACACAGTCCTACCCGTAGCTCACCAGGTAGAGTTAAAAAAGAAAGTAACTTGAAAGTTTTCCAAAGGAAAGATGATAGAACGGTAGTTTCTTCAAACAGAATGGATATCCTACGCTGTGCCTGGATCAACCCTCATCATTTTATAGATGAACAAAATGAAAATAAGTAACAGCCACAAATTTGTTGAGACTTTTGAAACACAATGATTTTGGAAGCCTTTGCTGAGGTATAATTTATACCCAGTGACTTTGTGCATGCAGCTAGTCACAAATGTTCTTGTAAAGCCCAGTCACAGACACTATCTTGGGCACTAACGTAAGCATTGGTGAGTGGTAAACTCCATGTCCTTCCCTCCAGACGGTGATGGCCCATGGCTGCTACCTTTCTGCAGAAGAACTGGACGTCTTCCATGAACGAGGAGCGTCCATCTCACACTGCCCCAATTCTAATCTATCGTAAGTAGGCAATAATGGCTTGGGAGATTGTGAACGTTTGCAGTACAGATTAGCAGCCGGACACCTTTGTTTTCTCTGTCCTTCCTCAAGGACAAGGTCCCTCCTCTGTAACTGTGTTTGATCGGGACAGGAAGTAGACAGACATTTACTCTCGTGCTGTGAGAGAAGAAAGGAGACCACTAAAGAGGGCATTTTTTGTAGAGTATGCATTTTAGATTCTAAAATCTCTGATCTGAATTTGCACAAAAAGAAGATAATAGGAAATACAGTAGAAAACATTTAATAGCTTGCAGATTTACCACTAAGGGGCTGAAAGGAAACCATGTTCCAGCCAGGTCTTTTCAGGGAGAGGGTTCTGTCTCTCGTTACCACTTTTGCTCTGATGTTAGAAGGAAGTGCAGTGTACCAGAAACCAGTCCCTTGTGGTTTTTGAGGTCAGATAATTAGGACAATTAAGTTCATGAACTCATCCTAGATAAGTATACCTAAAAAAGTGCTATATACCTAAAAAAGTGCTACCTGCCTCATGGGTGAATATCATCATGGTCACCTTTGAAGTCCTCCCCTGGGGAAGCTATGTACCCACTCCAGGGCCTAGTCCACCCTGATGGAATGGCCATCAGAACTGTACAAGATCTGACAATTAAGTTCATGAATTCATCCTGGAAAAAGTGCTTGGAAGGGTGTTCTGGCACTGGCATCTGTGCAGACCTTTTTACGAGGAGTACTTCGAAGGTGATTGCAGTGATGTTCAGGAATGAAGTATGGAGTACTTTCTCTAGAATGAGCTCGGGAACTGAATTGTCTGAGCGTGCATGTCATCCTGTTTGATCTGGCAGGATACCAGCTCACACAGGGAAGCCCAGATGGACCTTGTCCTGTCATAATGCCCTCATATACAGAAGCTTTATTTAAAAAGCTTAAACAGGTTCTTAACCTTTTGAAAGTTTATGGACCCGTAGGTGAATCAGATGGAAATTATGGCCTATATCTTCAGAAGGAAGATTGTAGATACTAAAATGTTGCATTTATTTTCAAGGAATTCATAGATCCCCTAGTGCCGGTCCATGGGTACTAGGTTATAAGCCTATGCCTGTACAAGTAATTTGGGGCGTGATCTAAGAAAATACCTATGGAGAAGTTGGACAAGGAAGAGGAGGAAGTCGGTGATGAGTATCTCATCAAGCACAACTCCACTGTGGGCTTCACTGAGGATTAAACTCAGGGAACCACTGTACAAAACAGACCTCAAAGTTATCCTGCACAAAGAGTGAGGGGCTGCGGTAGTTGTACCCAAACTCTCATCAGTTATTGATGGGGGTCCTGGGTGGGGGTGGAGAGTAGTGTCAATTCCATGGACTGTCGAAACAATGGCAGAGCAGGCAGTAGCACTGGACAGCCCCCAGGACAAGTAGCTGGATGTGTCAGTAGTTGGAAATCTGGGACTTTTGATGACGAAAGGTATGCCAGTGGTGGTATTGGAAGGGCACTGAAAGCCACAGTGTGTGTTTCTGGAGTGTTTGGAGGGGCTCCAGAGGCTTTGAGTCTTCAGAAGTAATCACACATGACAGAGAATCTTGCCCTTGTATAGTTTATATATAACATAATTGTATATTGTAATATATAAAACAATATTTATGTCACATATAATTATGGTCTAGTGTCCTAGTTTGAGAAGAATTTAACGTCCCTTGGGTGAATTGCTCAACATTCTCTGAATTAAAACATAATGCAGTTCTGCAAATTGAGATTTATGTCTTTAGGACATATTTCTATTTAAATGGTCATTGTCATTTTTTCTCTTGCAACTTTGAGAGATTTATTGTGTGTGCACTGGGGTTTTGGAAATTATGGTCATCCTTTTTTTTTTTGGAGACAGAATCTCACTTTGTTGCCCTGGGTAGAGTGCTGTGACGTCACAGCTCACAGCAACCTCAAACTCTTGGGCTTAAGAGATTCTCTTGCCTCAGCCTCCCAAGTAGCTGGGACTACAGGCACTTGCCACAACGCCCAGCTATTTTTTAGTTGCAGTTGTCATTGTTTAGCAGGCCCAGGCTGGGTTCGAACTCAGCAGCTGTGAGTATGTGGCTGGTGTCTTACTTACTGATCTGCGGGCACCAAGCCAATTATGTGCGTCTTGAGCAGACCACTTTGACTTTTGCATCTACTCGTACTTCTGAAGATCACTTTAATTAGCCTTTGTCTCCTTAGAAAGGTGGCACCTGTGTTCAGCTCAGGGTCAAGACGTCTGGAATCCTGCGCAGGAACCATCTGTCCTTTTTGCTCCTGTTCTCAGAGGCAGCATCTGCACTGTCATGCCCTGACTTACCAGCCTGTACCCTGTTTTCCCTTTGAATTCCCCTTCTTTTGAGCTTGCACACCACTACACAGTCAAGGTAACTCATTAGACTTAGAGAAAAGGGAATCTTTTATAGTATCTACTTCCTAACATAGACGGATGAGTTGATTAACAAATATTAAAGACAGATAAGACTTTTTGTACTAATTGCAAGTTTTCATTTCTTCATTTTTTAAATACAAATAATCCCCTGCTTTTCTTTCTGGCTCTTGCAGCTTTATGCCCACCTGGGATTAACCTGAACCCAAGGGTTAGTTCTTTAATGATCCCATTTACTCCAGGACTGGGATGGTCTGATTTGACTAATGTGTTTGTGTCAATATTAGATGTCATGTGTTGAGAAACGCAGTTTTCAGAGATACCACCGTCATTATTGGTGTCTCTCTTCTGCTGGAACACATGGATCTCCTTATTCTGATTTTCTTTCTCTGCAGGCTGAGCAGTGGCTTTCTAAACGTGATGGAAGTGCTGAAACATGAAGTAAAGATAGGGCTGGGAACAGGTCAGTAGTCCTGTGTGAAGCTGTCCTAAGTGAGTGCTTTCATGAAAAAGGAAAATAAAACTACAGGAGATGCACAGAAAAACCAAACAATTGCACAGATTTTTATGCAGCATTCCCCACCAAAATATGTCAGAGCAGTAGAAATATGTGAAAGAGGCTTGGTGCCTGTGACTCAAGTGGCTAAGGCACCAGCCACATACACCTAAGGTGGTGGGTTCGAATCCAGCCTGGGCCCGCCAAACAACAATGATGGCTGCAACCAAAAAATAGCTGGGCGTTGTGGCGGGCACCTGTGGTCCCAGCTACTTGGGAGGCAGAGGTAAGAGACTTGCTTGAGCCCAGGAGTTGGAGGTTGCTGTGAGCTGTGATGCCACAGCACTCTACCCAGGGGGACAGCTTAAGGCTCTATCTCAAAAAAAAAAAAAAAAAAAAAGTTTTGGGGCACTAACCTCCTGAAAGCCATTATTCCTATTTATTATTTAGAAACTGAACTATAAAGGATAATTCCTTCTAAATTGTTTTAGAGGTTCTTTGTAGGTTTTTTTTTTTGCCATTTTTTGGCTAGGGCCAGGTTTGAACCTGCAACCTCTGCTATATGGGGCTGGCACCCTACTCCCTTTGAGCCACAGGCGCTGCCCGGTTCTTTTTATTTTTTTAAATTAATTACTTTGTGTTTTTTGAGCCAGAGTCTCACTGTGTTGCCTTAGAGTGCAGTGGTCTCATGGTTCACAGCAACCTCAAAATCTTGGGCTTGATCCCACCAATCACCCTCCCTGCCCCCCTCCCTTCCCCTCCCTCTCCCCTGGGTACATGTGAATCTCTCTAAATGTAGAATATAAATGTCTTAACACAATAACTAAGAAAAAGACATGCAGGCTATGTTAACCAGTTGGATGAAAGTATTTTAAATTATATATAGAAACAGTACACTGTACCCCATGATAGTATTAATGTACACTGCTATGATTTAATAAATAAAATAAAAAATAAATTTAGAACCTATGGAGGAAAATATACTTGGAATATATTGTGATATATACACTAATTCATGATTATAACCAAAAGTAAGCAATAGTCTCCAATCCAAAAGGGAGGTATAGTTGTCAAGTACAAATAGGTTTATATATATATATATACAAAGTAAAGAGCCTATCAATTTTTATAATTAAACTATAGTTGAATAAAACAAAATACCATAAAAAAAAAATCTTGGGCTTGAGCAATCCTCTTGCCTCAGCCTCCTAAGTAACTGGGATTATAGGTGCCTGCCACTACATCTGTCTAGTTTTTCTAATTTTAGTGGAGACAGGATCTCATTTGCTTAGACTGGTCTCCAACTCCTGAGCTCAAGCAATTCACCCACCTCACCCTCCCAGAGTGCTAGGATTCTAAAAATAGCTAGGCATTATGGAAAGTGCCTGTAACTCCAGCTACTTGGGCGTCTGAGGCAAGAGAATCACGTAAGCCCAGAAGTTTGAGGTTGCTGTGAGCTGTGATGCCATTGCACTTTACCCAGGGTAACAAAGTGAGACTCTGTCTCAAAAAGAAAAAAAATGACTTTTTATTGATTAAGTGGAAGCGGATCGTTATGTATTTTCTACCAAAAAGAATTTTCCAAGTACTACAAATTCTTCTGGCTTCTGATTTTGTTACTGAAACCCAGGAAGAGGTAGCTTATATGTAAGGTTGAGAGAATGAAAGGGTATTTGGCAAGTGAGAGCAAAAGTATAAGCCTATAAAATAACTCCTTGTCTCAGAAGAAATGGAACTGCCCATCATATTTTACTGTTGACTTTGCAATATAAAATAGGAAAATATGAATGATATTAAAAAGATTTTTAAAATAGGATACTTCCCATATAAAATATGGGGAAAAAACATAAAAATAAGAAAACAGCAAATCATACCAAAAATGAAGGAAAAATTTGAAAGTATAGAGCAAGTTGACATAAGCAAGACCTACTTACTAATTCATTAAAACAGATGGCATCCAGGGAGCCAGGGTCTCGCTTTTCTGTCCCAGTGCCCTATCCTAATTCACTTGTTCCATTAATCCCAAGAGGGCAGTTCTTTAATCTCCTGTAGACACCAATCTAGTGACTATACTTTCTCCAAATCCATTATTCCTCCCTCAATTTATCCATCTTAGATGCCAGAGTATACCTGTAATCATTCTTCTGGAAATATTCCCACTTCTCATATTTCTCTCATTTTCTTTGCATTCACTTTGCAAAAGCCTACCCCTTGATTGATGTTAATATTCCCCTTCCTGGTGCCCGCAGCTAACCACATGGAAGATGCTGAGAAAATCCTCCGGTGGGATTTCATTTTAAATTTTGCTCTCAAATCCCACATGGCCCTCAGCCCTGGCAAAAGAGACAATCATGTTTCTTTAATAAGAGCCTCTCCTTATTCCAAGACCATTTTTCCTCATTTCTTCTCACCCCAGTTTGTATATTCTTCATTTCTAGCTGATGGCTTCATCTTGTAAATCATTGAGAAAATAGAAACATTCATAAATCCTTCCCTTAATTTCCCACCATCAAATTCATACACCTTTCTGCATCTGCTGGAATTTTCTCTCTCTCTCTTTTTTTCACTGCTAAAGGAAAAGAAAAGAAATGAAATGATTCTTCCTTTGATCAAAGGCAAACATATCAAAATACTCTGAGATTCTGTATTCTCTTCCTCTCCCAGCATCTTAATCAATTAATTCCTTTTTCCATGAACTATCCTGTATAATCAGTATAGCCTTCCTATTGGATCCTAAGAAGGATCAAAACTTGTTTCTTAATCTGATATCCCCCGGTGGCTCATGCCTCCCCTGTCCGCTTCCCCTCTTGGCGCAGCTTCCTAGGAGAGTGGGCGCCCACCCCGCACCACTTTCTAGGCTTTCTTCCATCCCTCACCTACTTCAGTCTGCTTTTTGCCCCACCCTCCGTGGCAACGGCCTTTGTCCACTCTCCTGTGGGTATTACACAGTGGCCTGCTGCCAACTCCAAAGGACACCATTCTGTTCTTACCACGTGGAACTTTTTACCAGCCTGGGCCATGCTTGGCTGTTCTCTCCTTTGTCCAGATAATCGTATCTTGGATTCAAGGAAACTCCTTTGTCCTGGTTCTCTTCCTCTCTTGCGGACCCTTCTTTCTTTTTCCTGAAGGCTCATTCTCCTCTTCCTGCCCATTCAGAAGCATTTTTCAAGACTCTGTCTTGGGAACTCTTCCCTTTTTGCTTTACACACATGTTGTTCTTAGGAGAAGTCAATCCCTAGCATGGCTTCAGGTGACGACATAGATGTAGACGACTCACAGATCTTGGTGTGCAGCCTACAGTCTTCCCACAAATTTCAAACCTGCATTTGTAACTGCCTACATCCTCCCTTCCTTCAGACCCCTCTTGAAAGAAACCCCTAAACTTGGCTTGGTGCCTGTGGCTTAAATGGCTAAGGCGCCAGCCACGTACACCTAAGGTGGCAGGTTTGAATCCAGTCCAGCCCCGCCAAACAACAAGGATGGTTGCAACCAAAAAATAGCTGGGCGTTGTGGCGGGCACCTGTAGTCCCAGCTACTTGGGAGGCTGAGGCAGGAGACTCGCTTGAGCCCAGGAGTTGGAGGTTGCTGTGAGCTGTGATGCCACAGCACTCTACCCAGGGGGATAGCTTGAGGCTCTGTCTCAAAAAAAAAAAAAAAAGAAAAAGAAACCTCTAAACTTCATTAAATCCCCAAACATATTTAAGCCTAGTTCTCTTAGCCAAGTCTCCTTTTCAGAGAATTGCATTTCTCTAACTAGGAATGTGGGTCTTATTTTTGGAAGCTCTTTACCCCTCACCTCTCCTCCTACATCCTAGCAAGCACGATAATGTCCAACCTCCTAACTCCTGAATATTTTCTGAAGTTAGGAGGTTGGACCTCATAACCCTCATCGACCACTCCCACCTAATGCAAGTTGCTATGGTTTCTGGCCTGAACCACTGCACCTGCTGCCTGGTGGGTCTCATTATCCTTCCCCTTCCAGTCCCTTCTTCTATTTTCAAAAAAATCCCAGTGAAAATCTGATCCTATCACCCTTTGGTGGGACTTTGAATGTGTATGCCTGACTGCAAGGACCACAAAGCTCTGCAAGGCTTGGTGCCCACTTAGTCTAGCTGCATTTTACACTGGTGGTTTCTCCCTACATTCACTGGCTATGTTCTGTTCCTCTCTGTGGTTCACACTCCTTTCTACCAAAAGTCTTGTGAATATTCTTTTCCTCTGTCTGGAATGCCCTTTATGGCTCTCTTTACGTGGTTGGGTCTTCTCATTTCTGTCTTAGTTTAAGGTCATCGTTGCCTTACAAAGGTCTTTCTTCCCTGACTTTAAAGAGATCTCCCCTATCCAAATGAGCCCTCCATCTCCATTGTCCTATCACTAAACTAAACACAATTTATCATGAATATGGATCTGCTCATATGTTTCTTTTCTTTCTCCCCCTGCTCATGTAGAAGACCCATAAGTTTTATTTATGAGTGCTTAAAAAAGTCAAGCATGCAAACAGTGCTCATTAATTGAGAGTTAAGTAAGCGAATGAATGCAAAAGAAAGGAGTACACTGTATGAAACCATTTATTGTTTTCTGTTATCCTCTGGCTGAAGGTTTTACTCTTGTATGTTTTCTTTAGGGTTTTCTTGTAAATAAAAGTGTCCTTATGTTGACTCTGAGCACCAAGCAATGGTGCCATTTTTCATCAGGATGGTGGTTGGGGAAGGGGTAGGACTGGGGAGTAGGTTTTCTGAGAAATGCTTCCATTTTTGTTTCTTTTCCACACAGGTTCCTCTTTAGTACTCAACAACACTTAGGTCGTGTAACTGAATTTCTCAGCAGCTGTTTAGATAGGTGCTGTTGTTTCTATTTTATTAGAAAGTTGGCTGGGCACCTGTAGCTCAATGGTTAGAGTGCCGGCCCCATGCAGCAGGGGTAGTGGGTTTGAACCCAACCCAGTCCTGCTAAACAAAAAACCCCAACAAAAGCCAAAGTTGAGGTTCACAGGGGCTAAGTAATTGACCAAAGGCCCACAAAGCAAAAAAGTTTCACATCTGTGGTTTAAAACCAGGTCTGCAAAATGTGGACATTTATTATTTCTCTTTCCAACCAACCACACTGCCTCTAGCTGTGTGATAACATGGGAATTCCACCTACATTAAACATGTCATAGATGAAAGAGGAAGCCATTAAACTCATCCAGGAGGGCCGGGTGCAGCACGTTATAATACTATCACCATGGAAATCCCTGGAAGAGAAGCTTGACTCTTACACAAATAGTGTAATAGTCAGTTGTGATTTGTGTGGCCCACGGTTTATTCTTTGGCCAACACAATATTGTATCTCCATTGGCAATTGTTTTATTATCATAACATTGTCAACCAGAAGAATATATGATGATGAAATCATCAATATGTTATAATAAGGTGTCTCTCAATTTTTTTTTCAATATATAGCATAGATTTGTTTCCTAATCTATTCCTATCTTTGGGTTAATTTTAAATGGTATTAAGGAAAATACTACTTTCTGTGATATTTCATAATCTTTATTCCTTTTCTTTTTGGAGACAGAGCCTCAAGCTGTCCCCCTGGGTAGACTGCTGTGTCATCACAGCTCACAGCAACCTCCAACTCCTGGGCTCAAGCGAGTCTCCTGCCTCAGCCTCCCAAGTAGCTAGGACCACAGGCGCCCACCACAACACCCAGCTATTTTTTGGTTGCTGCTGTCATTGTTGTTTGGCAGGCCTGGGCTGGATTCGAACCCACCACCTTAGGTGTATGTGGCTGGCACCTTAGCCACTTGAGCCACAGGCACCGAGCCTTATTCTTTTTTTTTTTTTGAGATGGAGTCTCAGTCTGTCGCCCCTGGGTAGAGTACTGTGTGGCATCACAGTACTCACAGTAACTTCAAACTTTGGGGCTTAATCAAGTCTCTTGCCTCAGCCTCCATGGGCTGGATTCAAACCCTCCAGCTCCAGTGTATGTGGTTGGTGCCCTAACGGCTGAGCCACAGGTGCCAAGCCAGACTTTATTCTTATAACTGTGGCTACTTAAGTCTTTTATGTTCACACTATCCTAACTGCATTGCATTTAGTTTTCTATGTCCACTTTCAGTCTTCGTCCACATATTTTGAGATATTTTTAGTCTTCTCATGCTTTTGTATCATAGTGACAGCATTTTTATTCTGCCTTTACTTTTAATGTTTTGTTTTATCAATAAAGAGAGAAGCAGCAGACAAAATATTTGAAAGCTCATTGCTCATTATTTCCAAATTGTATTTTTTCTTAGCTATGATAAAAATGAAGGTTTGATGGTTAGTTAACTACATTTTAACACAGATTAATAACTTGAGTAGATATAATAAAACTTTTTAGTGAGCTGGATGATCCTCTGACAATGCCATTCTGGTTAATGAAAGACATTTTCTAAAGACATTCTGTACACATTTACCTAAGGACGTGTAAGACCGTTCAATATAAAATTAAGCTGTAATCTGGGATATGCAATTGCTTTGATTTTTGCAATATATATATAAGTACTAACAATTACATGTGTCTACCTAGAAATGACAGAAGGAACCTTTAAAATATGAAGGATATTTTATTAGCTGTAAATTGATTTTCCTTTAATAAAACATAACTTACTTGGCATTTATTTATACAAACTCATTTTTATCATTATTTATATAAACTTCTACATTTATTCTTTCTTTCTTTCTTTTTTTTTTTTTTCCTGAGGCATAATCTCACCATGTCACCCTCCGTAGAATGCCATGGTGTTACAGCTCACAGCAACCTCAAACTCCTGGGCCTAAGCAATTCTCATACCTCAGCCTCTCGAGTAGCTGGGACCACAGGCGCCTGCCACAATGCCTGGCTATTTTTGTTGTTGTAGTTGTCATTGTTGTTTTCAGCAGGCCTGGGCCGGGCTCAAACCCTCCAGCCGTGGTGCATGTGGCTGGCACCCTAACCACTGAGAACCAGCACTGAGCCACTACATTTATTTTTATTAAATGTAGTAGTTTATTTATAATTAGGGATTTTATTTAAATCTTGAAAAATCTCATTTGTCATGTAGTGATGCCTGCCAAAATATAAAGCTATTCATATCAGCATTGTTCACTTATTATACCAATTTCCCAAAATATGTAAGTTCATTCTAAAAGTTCTTCTTAAAAGTTATCATGAAGAAGAGTTCTCATCTGCATGAGAATAAAGTTCAGATAAATTTTTAGGGTATAGAATTATGAGCTTGTTTTAAATCACATGTTTTATAGATAAATTATACATGTTGTATAGATAAATTATCTTTATACCTTTGCAAGCATATATAAGTTTTAGACAATTTCTGTGAAAGTTCAGAAAACAGTCAGAGATAAGAGTTTCTTCTCTTGGTTTTATAAACCATTTGAGTATTGTATGGGTTGCACTTTAGCCTTTAGGTGTCTACTGGAACCTGTTAATATGCTCTTATTTGGAATAAAGGCCTTTGTAGATATAAGTAAGGCAAGGATCTCAAGATGAGAACGTTCTGAAATTTGATGGGTTCTAAATCCAGTGACCAATGTCCTTATGATAGATAGAAAAGGAGAGACACGTGAATGACACAGCAGCTTGGAGATGGAGGCGGAGATTGGAGTTACACTGTCACAGACCCAGAATGGCCAGGACCCACCCAAAGTTGGAAGAAGCAAGGAAGGCCTCTTCACTAGAGCTTTTGTAGGGATGGTGGCCCTAGCAACACTTTGATTTCTCCTTCAAAACTAGGAGAGAAGACACTTCTGCTGCTTTAAGTCAGAAAATGTGTGGTAGTATGTTGTTAGTTTGGTTAACTGCATATACAGGTATACATTTGACACTAATAGGTTTTGAATGTCTTTAAATCTTACTGTATGGCTATCTTGTGTTTGCAGATAAGAGCTTTTCATTAAGTGTATTATAATTGACTATCTGACCCCAAAACAACCTTATATACTTATTATTCCATGTATACTCAAGTTTCTGTTTTGGCTTAATTTTACCTAAAATTTTACCTTAATTTTATCTAATTTTACCACTAGATGTGGCTGGTGGTTATTCCTATTCCATGCTTGATGCAATCAGAAGAGCAGTGATGGTTTCCAATGTCCTTTTAATTAATAAGGTGAATGAGAAAAGCCTCACCCTCAAAGAAGTCTTCAGACTCGCTACTCTTGGGGGAAGCCAAGGTAATGATTATTACGTTTTTCTCTCACACATTGTACTGCCCTGATGATGATCTCTATCGTTGGGTACAACATGATGGTGCATGATGCTGGTCTCAGGAGAGTCCAATATTCATAGCTGTCATAGCTCCCCAAACACCAAAACTTAGCCAGTAGAGTACAGTAGAACCACTGTAAATTGACCCCCCAAGGAACTGTAACAAACTGGTCCACATCAAGAGGTGGTCAACTGTGGAGGGTCTACTGTATGTGTTCAGGCTTGCAGTAGGGGAACCATTTGTTCAATGAAGTCACTGCCTGTGAAAGAATAGGTTTTGATGCACAATTATGAAATTAATGGTTGAATGCATATTAGATTAGTCCTATGCATGAAATAATCTGTTCTTGGCTTGGTGCCTATAGCTCAACCGGCTAAGGCGCCAGCCACGTACACCTAAGGTGGCGGGTTCGAATCCCCAGCCCGGACCAGCCAAACAACAATGACGGCTGCAACCAAAAAATAGCCGGGCGTTGTGGCGGGCGCCTGTGGTCCCAGCTACTTGGGAGGCGGAGGCAGGAGACTCGCTTGAGCCCAGGAGTTGGAGGTTGCTATGAGCTGTAATGCCATGGCACTCTACCCAGGGAGACAGCTTGAGGCTCTGTCTCAAAAAAAAAAAAAAAAAAAAAAAGAAATGAAATAATCTGTTCTTCCATTTAGTCAAGTGACTTGTTCCCTGCGGGCTTGAGTGATAGTCATCCCAGTCAAATCATAGCCAAGACTTGCTGAGCTGTTATCACGTGATAGACACTAGGCAGCAAACTTTATGGATGTTGTTCTTTACTCCTCACAACCACTGTTCTTAATTCCATGTTACAAACAAGAAACCAGAGTGAGGCATACACTGCTGTCAAGCTACCGTGTGCTCTGATTTGAAAGCAGAAAATCTGGTGCGCAAGGCCTTTACCTTCTGCCCTTCCTCGTCATCAGCTTTTCCTAGTTATCACATGTAACTATAATTTTGTAGAAAAAATAGAAATTGGTAACTTGGTCATTTGAAGTCACTTTACAATCTAGGTGTAATCTGAACAGATGATAGTGACAATAGCATAAAGCCATGGAAAGCTAGTTAGACCTTAAAATTCAGCTATAGGGCCCAATATAGACATTGATTTACAGCATAAACCCTGGGTTTTAGAAAGGTAGGGGGAGAGAAGCCAAGGGTATCGTGGCCAGAGACACTTTCCAGCTCTTCCGTAAATGTGCTGGGCCATGAGAAACACCACAAGGGACAGGTCAAGAAAAACTAGTAGAGATTATGTTTTTGTATTTCCTTAAGTCATTTTCTAAAATTCCAGGGTTTAAGTCACCCATTCTTTGAGTAAGTGTGACGCCCCTTCATCCACACCACCTCTACATTTCTGTATTTGAATTTGAGTTCAAGAAGTTGTTCCGTCATCTATTTTCATGTTGCAGATGAGTTGTGTTTAAATAGTGCTTTTTTAATTCCAGGCACTCTGTGAGTTGCTTCATCAGGATCCTGCTTCTGGTCAAGCCAGCATGAGTGCCTACCAAATGATTTCTACCTTGCAGTGTAGCTTTTACATCTGTTTTTTGGACCACCGGGCTTACTCTAAAGGAATTTCTTCTCTTTGTTTGTACCTCTACTATAGCATGATTGAAAGGGGATGAACAGCTCCCTTTGTGAAGTGGGGCATTTTCCCAGCTCTGCCATGGCCTTTACATTCACTTTTCAGCTTTTGTTGATGTTCACTTTTTTAATGTGTGGTCCAAATTAATTGTTATTCTTTCAAAGCGCAGCAGAGAAGGGCGGCGCCTGTAGCTCAGTAGGTAGGGCGCCGGCCCCATATGCCAAGGGTGGCGGGGGTTGAACTCGACCCCGGCCAAACTGCAACAAAAAAATAGCCGGGTGCTGTGGTGGGCACCTGTAGTCCCAGCTACTAGGGAGGCTGAGGCAAGAGAATCACCTAAGCCCAGGAGCTGGAGGTTGCTATGAGCTGTGACACCACGGCACTCTACCAAGGGCAATAAAGTGAGACTCTGTCTTTACACACACACACACATAGTGCAGCAAACTAAAAAACAAGGTTGGACACTCACTCTCTAACCTGTGCTCTATCTAGAAGATCAAGATGTGTCTAAATCATCCTCACAGGGCCAATATTTGCTCCAAAGACAGCAAACTGCCTTCCTTGAAATGCATTTTGAGTTGCTTACTAGCTCAGCTGGGCCCATCTTCAACAATCTGAATTTACATTAGTTTATAAATTCACTGAAAGCTATTGTATCTTTTTTTGGTCTCCAACTTCTAATGAGTTGTACAGTTAGTTTATATATTTCACCAAAGTTGCCCAGACCCTGGCAAATGTACCTGGTTATCTGGTCTATTAAACACATGGCAATTGTATATTGAATCCAGTGTTGAAAACTCCTATTTGTCATGCTTCTTTGTCAAGGGCAAAACGAAGTACTGTGTAATCAGTGAAGGAGGAAAGAATTCCCAGTGATGTTCTGTTACTTTCAGTCCTTTCCCACACAGTTAGTAGAAGTTACCCGACTGCTTTAAACGTCTTCAATTATTTTCACACCCCTGTCTTTCAATAAGTTTTTTTAGCTAAAATTTTTCTTTGAGAATAGAAGATTTGTCCTTTTAATAATCTTTTAAGAACAAATAAGATTTCTAAGTCAGTGCTCAGAGAATTGCCAAGGCGGCTTCTCGGTACATATGCATAGAAGTATAATGTATCAGATATTGCCTAATGGGGATAATTAATTTAGTAATTTTCACATCAGACTATTTCCTAACAGTGAGAGAATGCAACAAACACATGTAAAAATAGAAGGAAATAATTCTGTACTCCAGTTAACCTTCTGTTTTTGCACGCTCCCCTTTGGATCTCCGCATACAGCTGGCTCAGATTCTAGATGTTAAGGAGTTTTTAGATTCAATACTTTCATTGAACAGGAAAGCCAATCACCACCATCTTCTGAAACAAAATTATAAAAATGAGAGATGTTCTTCCTGGGCATCTAAAATGATGGAGCATGAATTACAGCTACGTGACGGGCCAAGTCAATAGCCGTAATTGACTTATACCCTCTTTTAGAAAACCATTCTTCTCTGGCAATTAGACATCCTTCAAGGTTGTAGAGATTGGTCTGCTTTCAAAAGCGTTGGGACTTTTGAGTTATGAGGATCTGTTGAAATGAGGTGTTTTTCTAGTTTAAGGATTTAAATTAAAGTATTTGTGATGAATACACCTGCATTGGCAAACATGCAAGAGGATAGTTATTTTTCTTTTATTCAAGGCTCATTTCACTGACATGAAAACAAACCTTGTCAGCTATTTCATGGGACAAAACGAACAAAAAAGACAAGGCAAGGAGCTGGAGTGTTGGGAGCAAAACAGGAAGGAAAAAGAAGAAAGGTGTTACGTGCATCATCATGTTTCTTAGAGGGGTAAAGGAAAAGCTTAGACCAGCTGGGCTGTGAAGTACCCGGATGAAGCTGAACTAGAGAGAGACACTGGCAGAATTATAATCCTGGTGACACAGGGAGCTGCTTCCTCCTCAGGTTTTGCTTTCCTGTGCTTACTCTACCTGCTATAAGTGGAATTCTTGGTGGAACGACAGCACTTTTCTGCCTCAGTAAGATAACTAATTTTTTCCTGGTGAAATGTGGGCGGAATTGTCCCTCCAAACTGGGACATTGGCGGGGTCTTATGGACTTGTGATACTGATGGTTTATTCCCTTGCTTCCCTCCATAGCCCTGGGGTTGGATAGTGAAATTGGAAACTTTGAAGTGGGAAAGGAGTTTGATGCCCTTCTGATCAACCCCAAAGCATCCGACTCTCCCATCGACCTGTTTCCTGGGGATTTTGTTGGTGATATTTCTGAGGTAAGTAAAAGACAGTTAATCAAAAGGCGTTTATTTCATGAAGTTGTCATAATACTTCCCTGTAGGAAAGAAAACAGAAAGTGAAACAGAATAAAAGGCAGGAGAATCTTAAAAGGGAAGGCAGATCCCTTTGATAATTATTAAAAATTTATGACAGAATGGGCGGCACCTGTGGCTCAGTGGGTAGGGCGCCAGCCCCATATGCCGAGGGTGGCGGGTTCAAACACAACCCTGGCCAAACTGCAACAAAAGAAAATAGCTGGGCCTTGTGGCAGGTGCCTGTAGTCTCAGCTACTCGGGAGGCTGAGGCAAGAAAATCGCCTAAGCCCAGGAGCTGGAGGTTGCTGTGAGCTGTGTGATGCCACGGCACTTTACCCAGGGTGACAAAGTGAGACTCTGTCTCTTAAAAAAAAAAAGTTTATGACAGAAATATTAAGAATAATGATATTAACAAAATAATTGTATTTTGAATATGTTTGTGTACTTGAATCTAATTGGCTATAAGCAATCCTAATAAAATTAGCACTCATTGAACACTTGCTATTTGCCATGTACATATGGGGTTAGTATTTTCACATATAATTTTGTTTTATCATCAGAGCATCTTCTAAGAAAGGTAGGTACTATTACTATTGTCATGTTAATTTATCGGAGCAGTGAGGTTCAGTGATTTGCCTAAGGACTTCTGGCTTGTAATTAGTGGCAGAGTTTGGATTCAAACCCAGAATTTTCTGACCACCAGAGGCTCTTAACCACGATGTCAACTTTCTTTACTTTATAGGAAAATGAATTTTGTTCCTCGTATCTTAAAATGTTTTTCTATGGGATAAAATAGGCGAGTTCCTCTCACTTTAATAATAATTCTTTTGTAAGATGTTTTTATTTCTTAAAAAATAGCTATTGCCATTTATAAATCAGTCTTCTTGTGAGAGTAAATGTGATAATCAATATATTGATAAGTTTTTATAAGAAAAATTCTGGCTGGTTTGAAGTTAGTTCCATTTGTTATTGTAGGGGAGGAAAGCGATCTTTTCCATTACCCAGCTTAGCTTCAAGGACGAGGTATCCCTGTAGCAAAAGACAGACTAATAAGGGAAAAACATAAATTCCTGTAATATCCGCTTTATATGACACAGGAGCCTTAACAAGACCTAAAGAAGCAGGTGAATTTGAATATTTTTATTCTCGGTTTGATAGAGAGTAAAGAGTCCGTAGAGAAATTCTGTAGGACATTGAGAATGCGATCTCGTGGTAATAAGCTAATTAAGTTAGCAAGGCCTATGTGCTGAGATCCTTCTCTGTGCCCTGCAGAGGTAAACACGCTTCTCTCTTCCATCTCTAAAGAGCGTACATCTCCCACGAGGGTCTTTAGACCTGCTTAGGGGAAGGTCAGAAAGGTCTTCCTAGATTTTATGACCTGCTTCAGGGGAGAAGGTGAGGGGACGGTCAGGATAGATTTATCTCCTTTTGATTTGGGGTAGTGTGTCCCCACCCCTCATTATTTCACATTATTTATTCTTTTACTTTCATATTAGAGTGAATTTCTGGGGTAGGGCTCAGTCCCATTCATCTACACATTTTTCTTACATCATACACTTCTTGAAATATTTGAAATGTTTTATTAAATTAATTTATGTAACAGATTTTCTTTCTTTTTTTTTTTTTTTGAGACAAAGTCTCACTATGTCACCCTCAGTAGGGTGCTGTGGCATCACAGCTCACAGCAACCTCAAACTCTTGGGCTTAAGCAATTCTCTTGCTTCAGCCTCCCACGTAGCTGGGACTACAGGCACCTACCACAATGCCCGGCTATTTTTTTGTTGTTATTTTTGTAGTTGTCATTGTTGTTTGGCAGGGCTGGGCCAGGTTCAAACCCACCAGCCCCAGTGTATGTGGCTGGTGCCCTAATCTCTGAGCTCCAGGCACCAAGCCAATATGACAGATTTTCTCTGATTTCAAGGTTATACACCAAGAACGTTCAGACAATGGATAAACATCTGTTAATTGCCAATGGGTTATTTTCTTATCTTGGGAGGTTTTTGTTTTGTTTTGTTTTTAACCTAAGACCTTTTTTTTTTTAATTAATAGATTTTGCAATTGAGCCATAAATTTATTTCTGGACTTTGCCAACCACTATTGGCTATGAATTTATATTCTTTCTTACCGCCTTTATTTTCTGTTTCAGGCTGTCATCCAGAAGTTCCTTTATCTAGGTAGGTAGATGTCTGTATCTGTGCTGTATAAAATCTTCCCTCGTTGTTCTCTTTGGTATGGCTCTTTGTATTCATCTCATGTGTTAAACTTTATGCAATATCATTTGCATTGGGTCTTTTTTTTTTTTTAACACTGCTCAGCATCAAGCCCCCTTTTGGCACACTATTTAGAGGAACCATTTGAAATGCACATCACTCTCTCTAGCTGTAAATTTAAGCTGAGGAATAGAAGACCAAAGGGGAAGAGATCTTCATGCTCAATCCGTTTATACTTCTGTGCCTCACAGTCTGCCCCACCGTGTTGTTCTGTGATAAACACATAGTGGAGGCTTACCACGTACATTTATGACATACTCACACCCAATTCTATACACCGATGGGGAGAGAATGAATATTGCAGAAGAGTCTCCTCTGCCTCTCATTCCATTGGGTGAGTTCAATACTGAGTGAACTTGAGGTGAGAGAGACACATGTGTTCTTAATCTTGGCATTTAATTTCTGCAGCCCATTCATCTCACCATACTGACTGTGATTCTGGAGTGGAAACATAAGTGTTCCTTTTCCAGCTGGGCCAGGATACGAACCAACCACTTCAGCTGAAAGGACAGATTCAACCTTACGTGATTTCTGCCTTCAGTGCAGAATTCAGGCCCTGCTCCTCAGATTAGCCACGGCATTCTTTATTGATCACGCCTTCCTGTCCAGGTTGTTACAATCTTAGAGGGGGAAAAAAGGCAGCTTCTTGTCTTTTTTAGAAGTGTCTGGTGTTCGTTTTTTGAAATCTCTCTAAAAGGCAGTTATAATAATTACTGACACTAAAGCACTTTATAAAATGATTGCTTGATTTTTTTCTTTCAGGAGATGACCGAAATATTGAGGAGGTTTATGTGGGCGGAAAGCAGGTGGTTCCATTTTCCAGTTCCGTGTAAGACCTTCGGGTATCTACGAAGTTCTCCTGGGATATGTGATTCCACATTTCCCTTGTGCCCAGGTGGAGTTAGAAAGTGAAAAAAATAGTACCTTGCTCTTGGGATGACTCTCTCTTTCTGTGTCTAGTTACAGTATTCACTTGACATTGTTTGAAGGAAGTGCACTAATTCTCAACTCGGGTTGAGAGGGTTCATAATTACATAAAAACCTCCCTCTCCCTTTTGAGCTGCTCAGATTTGCTTTCAGCTCAAACAGAAGGGAATGCTATTGCTGGTGGTGGTTTTATGATGAGATATAAGTAAAATCTTGTTCATATTTGGAAATGTGGAAGGAAAAGATATGCCTTCCTATATGGCTAGGTATTTTGAGCTAATAAATGCAAAAATTAGAAAACTGAAAATGAACCAGTGAGTGTATTTTTAAGAGAGAAGAAAAGTTCGACTGTGCACAAATGGTGGAAAATCACTTCAGATGGTGTTTGAAAATTATATACTGAGCATACTAATTCTCAAAGAGAATGTGTTGAATTTTAAAATGTTTCTAGATTGACCTTGTGTTTTGGAAATTTGCACCTAATGGGATTTGCATTTCAGAGATGTGTTATTGTTGTGCTTCGCCTTCCTTGGGGATGAATGCCAGAAATTGAATGCCACATGCTTTCTTAATATAGTTTCGTGCTTCAAGTGCTTGACAGAAGTTGGGTATTAAAGATTTAAAGTCTCTTAGGAACATTATTCATGTAACTAAATGGCATAAATAGTTGTATTTTTGTGTACTTTAGAATTATCTTAATTTTTAACTGTGTGATGTTATAATTGCTTCCACTTTATTAGAAGAGAGACAAATTCCACACTCCAGTGTTGTATGGGCTGGAGTCGTCACAAATTGGAGCAAGTACCGGGCATTTAGGGGCTCCTAACCCTAACAGGAAGGGTTCCATTAACATGGCCTGTTCTTCTCAAATATTATACCGTAGTCACGGGAAATTTTGTACTTGCTGATCCGTCTACTGGAATTTTAAAATGAAGGATAAATCTTGTTAAGGAAATGTGAAAAATGTTTAAGCCTAGTTTAGCTCTATTTTCTAATTTTATCCAATCATCTATTTCCTTATAATTTTCAAGCCCCTAGAATTTTATGACCATGAAAAATACATAGATATCCCATTTAATGTTTATATTAATAGGACTTAATCTGTACTAGACATCTAGGAACATTAAACAAAGCAAAGAGTATTTTTATGCTTCCTAACTAATATATTCTTTCTCATAACCTAGAATTAAAATCAAATTATGACGTTTTGATAAATCCTTAAGAAGTATTGATATAAATGTTACTTAAATCCTATATTTTTCTTATCTAATTCCAAATACTATAACCAAACAAGAAAAAGGAATCAACTTTCTTAATAGATTATTCCTTAGCTTATCTTATAGTAGGAAACTCTATGCAGTATAGCTAATCCCATATTAACAGAACACAATTCTCCAGTCTGTAATGTAAGTTCTACTTTCACTTATTCACACTAATTCAGGCCCCATTTTTAATTTGTTTGTTTCTTTTGGGGGCCTTTTAGATTTGCTTGTGTATACACCTAAAGAGAGAACAAAATTTTGGTCTTGTGTTTTAAAAAAAACAACAGAGTTTGTTTTGTGGAATATGAAGTAACTCAGTAAATCCGGTTTCCAGACTTAGTCTGTATTTACACTATTTCTAATTCCTGAGCCACGTCAAAGACGCCCTGCCAAACTCCTCTCCATCTCTACAGGGCTAGCAGGTGTTTTCTGCTCTCTCTCTCAATTCCTGCCAAAGGAACTTGGTTTCATCACATGCTATCTGACCACATGAGTAGGCTTAGCACTTGAGATGAGAGAGAGAAGATCCACTAATAGGCAGCAGCTGCTTTCAGCCTTTGCAAGATCCTACGTTTTTCCCTTCCTCAAGGGTGTATGTTTGATGTTGAACATCAGTTTTCATTTACATTTTAGATTCACGTGCAGTAAATATAAATGAATATAGCATCGCAAGCAGGAAGAATGGCGGTCTACAACCATTCTGTCAAACAGCATTAAATTTACCCCTGGTAGTATGTTCAAGACCTGGCTATCTTTTCTAGTAAAAATAAAATGTGTTGAGATGTTTACATGTACTTTGATCTCTCTGTATCACTAATACTTATGTGTTTTATTTCTCCAAGTGCAGTGTTCCTGAATGTCGCACATGGTTTTCTTCAGTGCCATAGGCATTAGCCATACATGGGGCCAGATGTTCTGTGCTTTGAAATGTTGCCTTTGCCTGATGTAGGTTGACTTTCTGAACCGTGGAGAGTCACGATTCCAAGCCAATGCTATCTGTCACTCTGTGTTTGAATATTTTGCTCTCTGACAGGAAAGAAAGAATTAAAACTTCTTACCAGCCCCTCATCCCACTCTCCTACATTTGCCTCATGTCCATGGTATTTTCAGTGGAATACACTTTAAAAGATAAAAGATATTCAAAAGTATCCACAGTCATAAGTTTACAAAATATTTTGGTAACCAAAACCCAATCAGCTAAGGTGAATTTCATTTTCAAACAAGAGGAAAACATGGGAAATAAAAGATTGGGATGAAAAGGCCAAGGAGACGCCTTCATTCTCTCAGCTTCTATTCTTACTGAATTGTCAAAGGTTTTAGACTCAAAGAGGCTATGTTGGAACTAGCTTCCTCGTGCCAGGAGGAAGTCTTCTAAGTTAAAGTGAGCACTGAACCCCGCCGAGTCTCTTTTTTACTTCAGTGGGAATTCTATGGGTTAAAGGAAAGAAAATGGTAGGGAACTCCCTGTTTTGCTAAGCTAACTTTGAAGTGTACCCTTGACGATTCTTGTTGGCAGCGGCAGCTGAGATCTTAGAAAGGAAACATAATGGGTATGAGATCTAGCAATGCATTTGGAATCTTCACTCCCTACCAGACTCTCCCTATTTTAAATCTTTTCACCTCAGAACCAGACATATGGAAAGCTGTGAAGGCAAGCTGGAAGGCACATTGTATCATCTCTACCTTGTGCTGCCTGGGGGAGAGATCTTGGATGCTTCTAGAACCTATTCGAAGTCTTTCCATTGTCCATTTTTAAAGTTGATGATGCTGGAAACATGACATGTTTTACAAAGAGTGTTCTGAGTTTATTAAAAGGTGGACTAAGAAGGGTGCCATGAGCAATGACTTGAAATAATTTACAAGTTGTGTCGATTGTTATACTTTTTTTTTGAGGCTTAACGGAGGTGTTAACAATTTCTGATGTATTAGCCACTTTAGGTACGACTTTGGACCTCATAGTTAATTATGTCACTAAAGGCATGAAGAGAAAGTGCACAAATGATGAGAGGACGGGGTTAGAAGACGCTGACATCGGTCCCCAGGCGTGTTTCCACCTCCCTTTCCTTCCCACAGCCCTGAGGGGGTGAGATCGAGAGCTGAGGAGTTAGTTTGCAGATCGAGTCCAAATGGAGTGAAATGCAGAAGCCACCCAGGCCAATGATGGAAGTAAATGTAACCTCCGAGATGGGTTCAAGTGATGCAGGGGACAGATGTTACAGCTTGTCTGTTTTTTGACAGTGATTTCCTTGTCCATTTCCCACCCAGAAGCCTGTCAGAAAGCATTCTTTAGAGAAAAGCCCCTTCCCTTGTCGTTAACTCCAGATTGCTGCTCTTAAGAATATATATGTGTGTATTCACAGGGACATTTTTTCTCAATATTTGTATGATTTGCTTATTGTGCTAAGTGAGCTCCTTTGTGCTTCAGACAAAAATAAATGAGATTTTGTGTTCATGTTATTTTTTTGTTGCGGGTTTTCTGTTCAATTTTGTTGTGAGTTCTAGCCGTCCGCTAGAAGGGGAATTAATCTCACAAAGTTTTTTCTCCTTTTTAGCATGACTTAAACAAAAATAGAATATTTAGGGCGGCGCCTGTGGCTCAAGGAGTAGGGCACCGGCCCCCTATACCAGAGGTGGTGGGGTCAAACTCGGCCCCAGCCAGAAACTGCAAAAAAAAAAAAAAAAAAAGGAATATTGATTTGTGGGCCGACATGTGTACCTTCCACCCTGTTAGTCATGACACATAGCTTTTAAAATGTAAGGTATAAGGTTCCGCCCTTTAGAACCAGGCAGCTGTTGCTTTTGATTGGGCATAGTGTATATTTCATATATTTGAGCCACAACCCAGAGTGAGAAATGCACTCTACAGAAATGCAGTCCATATCAATCGGTTCACACATACGTATCAGAGCGTATATTTAAAACAAAAGTTTCACAGAATAATAGTTTCTCTCTCTGTGATGCCCTGAGTTATTCTCTAGAGTTTTATTCTATTTAATTTTTTATGCTGATGGTGATTCTCCAGTTGGTTTCTTGAAACTCTCATGAATCATCACCCACGGATTGGAAGTGGTGTTCCAGTTCCTTTCCAGCTATTTTGAGCCCAAGCTTGGCCACTGCCTCTCTGGGTGGCAGACCCATTACTTCAAGTCAACTTGGCTCCTTCCTGTGATGTGGGGATGACCCTTATAGTCACGAGGAGTAAATAAAATGACACATAGATGGCACTTGCCGTAACATCCAGGACACAGTAGAGTTTTTTTTTGTTTTGTTTTTGAGACAGAGTCTCACTTAGTCACCCTGGGGTTGAGTGCTGGTGACGTCATAGCTCACAGCAACCTCAAACTCCTAGGTTTGAGTGATCCTTTTGTTTCACCTCCCACGTAGCTGGGACTATAGGCACCCACCACAACACCTGGCTAGTTTTTCAACTTTAAGTAGAGCTGCGGATCTCGCTCTTGTTCAGGTTGCTCTCCAACACCTGGGTTCAGGCGATCCACCCATCTCGACCTCCCAGAGTGCTAGGATTACAGGCCAGAGAGTGTTCACTATTTGATAGTTGTTATCCTTTGGGGGCAAGGCACAATTGTAAGAGGGACTTTACCTAACAAATGCAATCAGTGTAAAAAAAAAAATAAAAAATATATTTTAGGCTCGGCACCTGTGGCTCAAGTAGCTGGGGCACCAGCCATGTACACCTAAGGTGGCGGGTTTGAATCCAGCCCAG